AACAGATGCTGTGGATATTATATCTAAACACAACTTGATTATATTAGAATAAAAATGCTCCTCTCTCTCTCTCATGCTCCAGGGCCTGTTATTTAATATAATCAACATCTATGTTTTGTGAGAATGTACCTTTGTTAGTCCCAGATGGATTTAGTTATTATCTCTAAAACTTAGTACTTAAACAAAAGCAAAGAAGTCACAACATAAAACAAAACAGAGAATAAGATTTACAAGATTTCATTCCACTTTAGGAGACCAGAGTCTATCTATCTTTAGTTTGGGAACATTGTATTTCTTCACAGGAACACATAGATCTTTGTTTTTTACCCACAAAAGATAAGTTTATCACAAATCTGATATGCATGTAGAAGCTGACAAAACACTTACATAATATCTTAGTGAACCACTTGTTTGCTGAGACATCTTGCATAAATCTATTCTGCATGTCATTGTGAATATTGACATTCTGCATCCATTTCTATTTTTTTCATTAGATTTTACAGTGACATAACAGTCACAGTGACATAGCGTTTACAGGGGTTTAGACCACACCCACCCCCCCACAGTGCCTTTTGAATCAGAGGATTTTCATTGTGAATTTATTAGCTTGGTCAGTATTGCCTTGTATAGTGACACTAAACCAAGCAAATCAGTCCCTGACAGTGTTGCATCAGTGCACTCATCATGAATGTGCAGGGTGGACAGTTTCCTTTCACAGGGCAAAAGTATGATGCAAGATGTACCTGCTGTTGCTTTCTGCACAATGTGTTTGTTGCCGACCATTTTAGACTTCAGAAAATCTAAAATAGCAAACAATAGCAAATCAATAAGTTTTGATTTCTTTTCATTAGATTAATAATGGACTAAAGGTCCCCTTCACTGCTTGTTATCTTTGAAATAAATGTAGCTCGGTAGTGCCGCTACTCTATTTACCTTTATAATGACACCCCAAAGGAGATATGAATATGCAGTAATTTGTGCAAAGGATTTCACAATGTAGACTCTGTTTCTTGTCATTTCTTTGCAAAAGCCCAGAGCCATGCATGGTTTTTGTGAGATTATAATATTATTTTATGCCATGTTAGACCCCTAATTGAAGATTGTGAATTATTATGTAGTTTTAGTTTGCATTATTCTCCTGAATTAGAAGAAGGTGATAACTAGTGCATTTGTTAAACTGATTTGCATTACATTAGACTGCTGATTTATTGTGAATGAATGATATTGTTATATGATGCATTATACTGCTGAGTTATAAGAAATACTGTTCGCAGAAAGTCATCGCCGAGTAGAAGAGAACAGAACATACTGGAGTTTTCTGCCCCATCTCAGCAGGAGCAGATAAACAGGGAGCCAAGGTCGTAGCTTAGGTGCTGAGTGAGAGAAAGCATGTGAATGTTCAGGCTTTTATGATTAGGTGGGGGCCACTAGAGGCTATAAGAGTTTGATCAATGCTCCACCATTTTGAGATCTGATGCTGTCTGCGTACGGTGTCCATCTCCCACGCGTGTGATCATTAAAATCATTGTTTGACTCAACCCGGCCGGACCAGTGTTGTTATTGTGGTTTTTCCTCTTGTATCCATCCCCAATATTTGAATCCGTAACATTTTCTTTATGTTTTGCTAGTAAAATGGGAAAGAAATATAGTTTTCAGTGTATGGTTAAGCTTGTTAAACTTGTGCAAGCATACATAACAACATAAGGCAAAAACAGAGTTCGTACAATTCCAGTGGGCTTAAAAGTCAATATTTGGTATGAGCACATTTATTTTCCAGCACAGCATGAAATCTCTTAGGAAATTCTCTTGTAATTTCTTTAAGTAGCCTTCAAGAATAGTTCTCCAGGTTTCTTGAAGGACATTCAATGCACTTCTTTGTTGGGTGCCTTTTGTTCTATTCTCTGGGGAGGTCCAATCCATGACTGATTGTGTGCCATTGTGTCGTGTTCTATCCAAGTATGCTTTTGCTACACTGGCAGTGTGTTTGGGATAATTGTCACACTGAATAATTAAGCCATTGCAAATCAGTTGCTTTCCAGATGGTACTGCATGTTGGATACGATACTTATCTTTATAATTCAATCAATTTGAATACGATCCAAATGCCACTGTCTGAAATGTAGCTCCAAACCATGCAGCCTCCACTATGTTTTACATGTGGGTGTAGACATGTCTTGTTTCCCTTCCTTAAGAACGACATTGAGAAACAGTCACCAGAGACCATTTCTAAGGAGTCTGCAGCAAACATGGTTCCATTGAAGGGTCATTTGCATCTCTCGGATCTTGTGTCTTCCTGTTTCTTAACAGCATGACTTTCATTTCACGCAAATAGTTTTTTGGACCTGCGTCTTCTGCCTTTCTCCTCCATCTATCCAGTTTCCTCATATTTTTTTCAGGACACACTGCACACCATGCTACAGAAAAATACTATTTTATGCCTGTTAAACTGTGGTCTTTGGGATTTTTTGGGAAGAAAAATATATGTTTTTGGAAAAGGTTCCTAACAGAGTCTCTAAAGATGCAATTTTAAATTGTTTCTCATCTGTTACGTGTGGACACAACACTGGTTAATTCCTTGAGTAAGGTCCCTTTAAAAAAAGAAAAAGAAAAAAAAGACTCATAAGGCAGTATTAGGTGGCTCAAATGAAAATACATTCTTCTGAAAATGGTCAAGATAAAGTCTGGACTGAAAAGGAGTGAAAAAGCAACCATTGTCGTAGGAGAAAAAAAAAGCAGGTACTTTATGCATGGTGCTGTACTTTGGTACATTACTGTGTTACTGCATTTTATAATGTATTTTGCAAGTTAACTCACTGTTTTTTGTCTGCATCATTCTCTGTGTTCTCGCCCATGGACACAGTTTTCAGAAAAAACAAAAACAAACACCTTTCATTCAAACTAATTAACCTGAACGATAAAACATGATAAGATAGTTACACATTTTTTAATACAATGATATTAAATATGAAACAATTAAAGAAACAGACAGACAACTTGAAAGGGAGAATATTATTTCTTTGGACAGTATTGCACTAGTTTCCTGGTTGGAGGACAAAGCAAGCAACCCTTTAACAAACTTCCTGCTTCTGTGATTAGACGATCAGAGATAAACCATCATCCTAGGCTAACACAGGATCACACAGGCTTGCTGTATTGTTGTAGTTTCGTTCACAATTATACGAACACCTGTACACTTAACAATCTACACGTCTGACAGTGAAAGCAGAATTTGATATGAAATTACTAATATGTGAAGTGGAGAAATCATCATTTGTCAAAAAAATAAAAATAATTATTATCAATATTCTGTAATATTGTTTCAGTAGAAATAACGCTCCCTTGCTGGCCAGCAGAATTTAGGCTCATTTTACAGTTAAATAAGAAAATAAATACAGAATTTCAGTAAAATAATCTTTGCGGCATAGATTGTCTCCTATTTGATCATTTCTACCATACTTCATATTTATCCTTCACATATATTTTCTTCTATTGTTGCCACATAAATTACAAAATAATAACATTCTGTAGACAGTTTTCATTAATATTTCACAATACATAGTCACTGGCATTGACTGCAATACAGAACATGATCATCTACTATCTAAAATGTGAGACTTGTCTTTACACGTTATTTCCAATAAAGGTCCAATAGATTTCTTTCCCATTTTAAAACCAAAGAATTACATTTAAATACAATGAAGTGTTTCAAACAGCTCCAGATTTCAGCATGTATAACTACTCAGCAGTTTATCACCTAACACATACACTTAAGTAATTTTTTTTTACTGCCCTTACCAAGTTTTTCTAACAATTTTCACGGCCACTATTATGACAAGGGAAGTCAAAAACAGCACTTTACGGCACAAAAACCACAGTACTGGAATGTACAGTATGTCCACAGCAGCAAACCATGCAGACAGACCCCATTCACTGCCTCAGCCACACACACACACACACACACACACACACACACACACACACACACACACACACACACACACACAGAGTTACAGCTACAGTAGTATACACTGTCCTATGCTAAGTGCTTAACAGTATAAAGTGTCTAATAGGTCACACAGTAGCAATCTAACACAACTATTTTGACTACTGTCACTGTCAGCTAATCACCTGGATCATTAAGGGTGGATCTGAGCAAGAGAGAAAACAAGCATCAAATTAAAGTGAAAGTAAAGTATCTGATAGGACCACTCCACTTCTTTAATAAAGAAAATAAATGAACATGATATTTCACAAAAGTGAAGCAAGTCATTTTTTGTATTATACTACCTACAGCAGCGGTCCCCAACCCCCGGGCCTCGGACCGGTACCGGTCCGTGAGTCGTTTGGTACCGGGGGGCGAGAGTTGAGGCTCAGGTGTGAAATGTATAGTTTTCAGGGTTTTTATCGGTTTTCAGCGTTATTTTGTTATCGTTTTTATCGTTTACTCGGTTTTCCTGGGTCTTTTCACGTCTGTTATGAATAAATTTTCTTTTTTTCGGTACCGGTACTAGTTTTATTTTGTTGTATTTATCCGCAAGACTTTAATGGCCGGTCCACGAAAATATTGTTGGGCGTAAACCGGTCCGTGGCGCAAATAAGGTTGGGAACCGCTGACCTACAGTACAATACAAGTCCCTATGGTGGCTCTACACAGTAGAGTTCCTGCTCACATTTTTATGAGATATCCAGATGAGAAATGTATTGATTTTGGGTTTAAACACCATGCGAAAAATAAATTAAATAAAAGATCCATGTTGTTATTCATGTTGTTAATTTGCTTAAAAATTAACAGCTGTTTGCTGTGAGCAAAAGCAGTGCGGCTCATTAACTCACACCAAGCATTGTGTGTAAAAAGCAATTCATGGTGAGTCAGGTATTGCTGTAGGCGTTGCCACAGTTGGTCCAGCAGTAAGTGGCCAGCAATCAATCAGCTAGTTTTTGTAAGACAGCTATGCTGTGTCAGCTGACAGCTAGCCTCCCACACCCATCACATACGCACTGCGTGGACATGGCGGCCTATTTAAACGTCCTTACACTCGCGTTCACTCTACACTGGTGTGTGTTGTTCTGACGCCGTGACTAGTGTCCGAGTCCCCTGAATTACAGCCTCCGCGTACTTTGGCTCTGCTCAGCTTTTATGCACCCTCGAGGGAATTTATTCCCACTGGTGGATCATTTGAAATGCTCCCTGGATATTTTGTAGTATAATGTGTGCTAGGTTAGAACCACATCACCAAGTCAAACTGTATGCTGCACATCTGTCTCCGATTGCAGAAACTAATAATGTGACTGTTTCCAGAGCTGGTGATGACTTTATGGATTGTTTTTTAATTAAATCTTATCTGTATGATAGGATTTGTTCTATAATGGATCCATTACTACAGCAAACATTGAGTGAATTATGTGGAATATCTGTGTCGAGTATAAGTTATAATCCAAATATCGTATATGTAGTGAGCTGACATGACTGCTAGGAACATCAAAGCACTGTCGAAAAACAGTAAAGATGGTTCCTATGAAGTATTAAGTGAGCAAAAATCCTTGAGTAGTTTCTCATGAAAGGTGTCAGCTCCCTGTGCTGACCACACCTGAGAACGGACGAAGAGAGAAGAAACACAGCAGAGAGTGAAGGGTTTACAAATAAAAGACATGCATGTGCACAGCTTACTGAAACAACCCAAGGCAAAGTAAGCCTCCTGGACAAACCAGATGGCTATTCCTGAAAAGGATGGCATCGGAAACTGTAAATTTTCTCTACAGAAACTTTACAGTGAGGTGGATGCATGACTTTAAAGACACAACAGGTTTTTAATGTGAGCTGTAAACACAACCGGGCTCACACTCCTGGATCCTGTGAGTTTTTCTCTTGCTCCTCAGGACCAAACAGCTGGCTGCTACTGCCCTCTGTTGGGCCTCTAATGGACTTGCACTCTGTCTCTGCAGTGGTGCTTGATGGAGGAGCCTTGGTGACATCAACCTCTTTCATTTTGACCTGGTGAGGACTGCCGGAGCGGCTGCGGCTTCGGCTGCCGCTGCGATGGCCGCGGTGCTTGCTCTTACGTGGGCTAGGACTGCGGGACCTCATCTTCATGACAACAGTGCTGTCATCTTCTGAAGTGACATCAGAGCTGTCTGAAGAGCTCGTGTCATCGCCTGAGGTGGGAAGCAGGATCTGAAGACAGATGGAAAAGAGTGTAAGTAAAAGTGGAAAACGTGAAATAAAAAGAGTACAGATGCAGATGAGAACACCAAAGGAAAGAGCATTTGGCTGTTTTCACGTCAAACAAGCAGTGGGTTGCAATTACCTGAAATGGCTCTGTTACACCCACAATGCTGCTCATGTTGTTGCTATAGTAACCCAAGATAAAGTCTCCTGAGCCTTTAGGCAATTCCTCCTCAGTAAAGGTTACCTGGAAATCAGTCGATAAGACGTTCATTAAATGTGAAAGAAAATTATCCTTGTATTGAAGCCTACGTGCATCCAGATTACCTGATGTTCCTGTCGAAGAAAATCTGCTTCCTCCTGCTTGGCCCACACATATCCCACATAGTCTTTGTAGTGTTTGAAACCCACCTATGGGAGAAGTCAGTAAAATCAGTAATACACAGGATTACTTGTCATGCTCAACCTACTTGTTGTAGTATTAATTTCACGTATTGGTTTGTTACCTTGAAAAGTCCAATCCAGTCCCAAGAACTGCGAGAGTAGTTGGGGGCCAGTTTGAATATCACTGTGGCATCAGCAACACTGTTCCACTCATCCTCCACTATGATTGTGACCAGGGGAAGATCCACCTTGTATGGGAACTACAAAGACACTTATCATAGTTATTTAATACCAAAGTGCTGTGAGGTTTCCACGATGTCCTAAAGGATAACGAGAGCAGAGGATCGACCTCATCTAAAATGTCAGTCATGTGCCTGTCAGCGGAGGCTAAAAAAACTCTTCTGATATCCTGGACCTCCACAGCATTGCAACATAAGCCTGTTATATTTCTGTTTCTTAAGACAGATTAAACAAACAGCAGATTTGGGCACTTGTGAGATGAAATTCTCCCTGTAAAAGCTCCACTTTAGCACATTTATGTATTGTGAGGAGAAATCTGTACCACCGGGATGAAAGTCTACAGAAGTACAGACAGTTCTATTTATATCACTCGGAAAAGGTCAATAATGGTGTAATCGAGTAGGTGAAGGACAGCAAAATCAATATGAAAGCAAAGGTAAGACCTAATGTTAGTTATTTACAATCACTTGTTTAAGGGTAGTCAGGCAAGTAGGGCACAGCTGACGAGACAGTCATCTTTTGAGTCTAATCAAAACCTGTGTGTAACATCAGTTTAAAATAACCACCAACGGGAATCTGATTTGTTGTGAAGTAGGATGAATTGGTTTGATTTGGTCAATGCGATTTTATAGTAAGGTTTAAAGAACTATGTTCAATGTGACAGTCTATACTTTGCTAGTAGCTATGAACACAGAGCGGTTAGCTGCTGTTAGTTTAACAGCTATCTGGCATTTGTCTACACAAACCTGTTGAAAATAACTGTCAGAGCAGAGGAAAGCCCTGTTTAGCCCTCCAGGTGACACAGATATATGAATTTTCCATCCATCCATCCATCCATTCGCTTCCACTTATCCTTTTCAGGGTCGCGGGGGGCGCTGGAGCCTATCCCAGCTGTCATAGGGCGAGAGGCAGGGTACACCCTGGACAGGTCGCCAGTCTGTCGCAGGGCTAACACACAGGGACAGACAACCATTCATACTCACATTCACTCGCACATTCAAACCTAGTGGCAATTTGGATTATCCAATTAACCTATCCCCACAAGCTGCATGTCTTTGGACGGTGGGAGGAAGCCGGAGTACCCGGAGGGAACCCACACAAACACGGGGAGAACATGCAAACTCCACACAGAAAGACCCCGGCCTGATGTTGGAATTGAACTCGGGACCTTCTTGCTGTGCGGCAACAGTGCTAACCACCGTGCCACCGTTCTGCCTATATGAATTTTATTTATCAAAAATAGTATGGTATCAAAAGCCCGCTCCAAATTCATTTAGCATGTGTATATATTCTTTAAATATTTTCTTTATTTCATTGTCTGACTTTATCATAAATATGCTACATTTCTAGCCAAACTACTCTGATTAGCAATAGAATATGTATTTATTGTATTATCAACTACAGACTAATTTCAAAGATGCAAAGGCCTAATACTGCTCACAATCATCCTCATAACGTACCCTCGGATCCTAAAACAACCATGACCTGGATGACTGAGAGCCTGCACAGACATACCCTAGTGTTTCTCACCTGAAGAGTAAAGATGGAAGAAACTGGTTTGTGGTCACTGACGGTGAATTCCATGTGACTTCGATAGTTGTGCTGCGTCACTTTGGCGCCACTCGTTAGCCCTGAAATGGAGCCACGCTTCCCTGCACCAGCAGGTGCCGTGGCTCTCAGACGCCACAGGATCCGGTCAGTCCAAGCTGGTTTACGTTTCTTCCCACTGGGAAGTTTCCAGAAACAAAAAGATGGGGCGTGGCAAAAATAAAGAAATAAATGACGCCATGTTTGAAACCACTAGATCGAGGATAAAATACGAACTGTAAGGATTCATTTAAGCCAGCAAGAGCCTTTCAGAGGATGTGTGTTAAAGGTATCTGGTTAGTGGCCTAGAATTCATAAAAGCACCCCCGGCATCACCAACCTTGTGTCGTATGTATTTGTTCCAACATCAAACTTGTAGGTAGGAGGGAATTTCAGCGGTCCCTCCTGGAATCCCTCTAACACTGTCTCGCTGTCTTTGGCCATGTTTAGCTGTAAATCATAGTACCAATCAGAAGACGTCACATACCTTCAACAATTACTGACGCTGCTCATGGGAATAGTGTGTTTCTGTATCACCCTCTAGTGGCATTCCCTACACACTGCACCACTTCCTGACTAACATCATTTCAGCTTTCGTCTCATAAAATAAAGAACTTCTCTATATAGTTTTACATTGATTTCAGGCTGAATGCACTGAAATAATAATAAGAAAAATAAATATGGATAGAATTTCAATATACACACTCCTCAGTTGCTATGAGATGAGAACTTTTAGTGCTTCTGAGGAAGGCCACATGCAGATGAGCTGAGGTACAATAATTGCATACATATAAACGTTTGGTTTTACCTGATCCTTTTCCCATAATATTGAAAACTTGTTGTTATCAATGGCTGATTTGACCACCTGCATCTCCAGGTCATCGATGCGGAAATTAAGATCCCCGAACCAAAACACCACACTGAAAAAAAAAAGGAGTCATTCTGTAAATTCAAACAAATGTGACGCTTTAAGTTACCTCAATGACTGTGTAATTATTTCCCTCAGAAACCACCAGCATGGAAAAACAACACTAGGTTGATCTTACAGATACATACAGCATATAGAGAGGAAAAAAATGAGGATGGAGATGAAGGTTATATTCAGAGAAAACAGTTTCCTGGGCAAGACCTAAAAATTTATGAGAGAAAAAAAAAAGAGTAGATTTTTTTTTAGGTTATAAAATCATAAATTTACAAGAAAAGATTCAGAAAGATAGTTCCTAAGGTACTAGATTGCTTTACTTTGCGAGAAACTCAATATTACCACTCATCATATCACAGATGCCACAGCTTCGCATTGACAGTGGGAAACCTCATCAAATTATAGCCCACTTTGCAATCAAATTTTACAGCATAACATACTGTTACGTTGAAAAGATGGAGTTCTGGCAGTTTGCAGGTCTGGATCATTCGAGTGTATGCTAACACAATGCCACAATCTTCCCAGGAGTGGATGTCCCAGCAAACTGACCCCAACATCAGACTGTGCAACGCTCAGAGAAAATGCAGAAAACCCAAAAGCTACACCTGAGACTCTCCCAGGCCTCAGTCAACATGTTAAATGATAAATTTCTTGACAATTTCTGTAATAATTTCCTTTGGACAGACAAGACCAAAGTGCAGATGTTTGGCATTAAAGCACAGCACAGTTTTGCAACCCAGGCATCTTCTAGTCACTTAATCGAACATGAACTCCTCCGTATACCAAGGTATTCTAAAGTCAAATGTGAGGCCATCTGTCTGACAGCTAAAGATTGGCCCCAATTGGGTCATGAAACAGGACAATGAATTGAAGTGCAGCAATAAAATCTACTTTAATGGCCCAGTCAAAGTCCAGACTTCAACCAGATTGAAATGCTGTGAGAGGACCTTAAGAGATCTGTGCATAAATGAATGCCTGCAAACCTCAATGAACTGATGCAACGATGTTAAGAAAACCAAACCAAAGTTCTTCCACAATGACGAGAGAGACGGATAAAGTCATACAAACAAATATGGTTTCATCTTATTCTTGCTAAAGGTGATTCTACAAGCTAGTGAATGATGTGGTGTGCTTAGTCACAGGACTGCAGAGAGTCCTGTGAAAACTTTACATACGATTGTAACCTACAATCACCACATAATCATAAGCATTTAGACTTCCAGGAGAAAATGCTGAGAATGTGTCTGCTGAGAAGAAAACATGCTGGTTTGGAGGAGGTAAGGTGCAAAAGGAGCTACAATGCAACTGACAGACGCAGAGATATTTCTCATTAGCTCATCCATAATGTTGAATCCTGCCTTTTCAAAGTCAAACTCTGGGGTTCTGCAACTGTTTCAGCCTTAATGGACCGACGTGAGAGAGCGAATAAGTAGCGTCTGACTTTTGGTCATAGCTTATACATTAACCTAAAGTTTCTGTGTTTCTGTGAACTGACATACTCATGGTCAAGAACCCCAGTGGCAGCCTGGCCCTCAAACTGCTGCTGCTGCAGGATGCTCTCAAAGTCCTCCATCCGCTGATCTGAGTTTTCCATGTGAGCCGGGAGGTGGCAGTTGAGAAAGCAGATGGTGTGACCGTACACTGACATGCGGGCACTCACTCCACCTTTATTCCCCTGTAGCAAGGAGCAAGCAGAAGAGAAGTTAAGTGGAAACAAATGAATTCAATGTATGTTATTAGTGATTAAAAAGCCAATAAAAACAGTAATTAGCATGCTACGATTTTCCGCTGTATTATATGTGTCTCAGCCACAAACAGGAAGTTCACTCATTAAGGAATACCGAGGGACAATATCAATATTTAATGATAACAGCAGAGAGCACAAAGGTGGGGTCAAGATGAGTCGGCACACAACTTCCCACTGTTCTGACCCACAACAACACCAAAGATGGTGCGTTATAAAACCCACAGTACACGTCGATGTCATTTGAGTTTATAAAATGAGAATTTTACTTTTGAAAAAAGTGTGCGTAGAAATGCTGCAACTAACCTCCTTTCTAAATAAAACTGTGCTTGTTGACAAAACTGCTGTAAAGCAGTTGCTTTTTGGTAAAAATATATTTTACTTTTCAAGCTTAAGACACATTAAAAAATTATTAGATTGGAATATCACTCCAGTCAGCAGTTTGCCTTTGGTTCATTTTTTTTATGCTTGACTTTTCCAAATGTTAATAACAGCTTGCTGCAAGATACCAGCATCTATCTCTTTATTTACATAAAACTGGATGAAGCCACGTTTGACTAACAAAGTGCAAGAGCTGATGTGCAGATATTTGGTGTGTCCCATTTCTATATGAGGGTACGTGGGAAAGAGATACCAGCCTAAAAATAAAACCAAGATATAGTCCACTTCTCTGTAGTGCTTTGTTTTTACGTGGGAAGTTTCCATAATGCAGTGCTGGTCACAACAAAATGTCAGTAGCCAGCTCACCCAGTAACCCCCCAGGCCTGTGCGAGTGGTCTCAGTCTGGACTCCACGCAGGAATGGCAAATGGAAATATTTGGCAAAAACCAGCAGTAACACTCCCTGCATCCGCTGGGATGTAACCTAGAGAAGAGAAAGCCATGAAGAATTAGACGGGATAATGTAAATAGACAGCAGAGTTATGAGGACACGCTTTGCATAATTCGCTAAGGAGAGCAGCTGTAAAGTTCACTTGCACATCAGGCTTACAACATGAATATAAAATCTCCTGGCATCCCTCGCACTCGTCCTCTTTTTACCGACTTGCATTTCCATTTTGGCCTGCAGGAGCATGTGGTCTAGTTCAACAGCTACTTCACATGAAGCCCCGGGCAGCTTTTGCCACAGCATCTACACTTACTGAGGTTAAAAAAACCACTAAAACCTTTGATATTTGCCCCTTACCTTTCTCAAAGCCCTTCAACATCCCACCAAGCGTTTCATGATAATATGCAGGATTTGACATTAGTGCACCTCTGGTGCTATTTTTGTTCAGTACAAGACAGTGAGGAATGTTACATGCCATTTACACGAGATGTCAACCCTTCCCATGTCCATGCCTCCTCCCCGCTGCCTTCTCCAGTTGTCCACACATCCCAACCCCCATCCACAGTCTGAAGAAGCACAATCACACCCAGTCTAAATGCCCGCGGGTGGAAATGGAGGCATACATCTCCGCGTGACAGGAGATCCTCTTGCTTGCACACTAACTGGCTGTTGCATAATGGATTCTAGTGAACCGTAAAGTGGACCAACTTCTTTTTTTTGTCATTTGTGTGAGGACACATAACGATTGGGTCTGCGTGCACTTGGGTAAAGTCTGAGGAGAGGGTACCTTGGCCTGCATACACTGTGGATGAACATAAATTCCCATCATCATAATTAAACAAAGAAAAACAAAACAAAACAGAAATCTGCTGAAGGCTGCCAAGCCACATTTTGACCAAGCACAGAAAAGACATTAAAGCCCAAAGACAAATGTGTGAGAGACGGAGACAGAGCGGGGCCATGAGTCCAGCAGCGTATGTTTGACCTTGTACAGCACAAACATGACTAAAGAAATGAGCTGTGAGTGTGATGCTATTTGGAAAACGTTTAGTGCATTCTTTATCATCTCTAACAGAGATGGACACAGAAACACAGAAAAGAGAAGTCTTGCATTTAGTGGATTAAACCACGTTGCAATCAGAAAGGCCAGACTGCCTTTGCTATTCAGAGCACTTAAATTGTAGCTTACTTGTACAGGAACTATGGTGAACATCAGCAGAAACCGTGCAGTGAATGGCCCGAAAAAATGTGTTGGAAGCTGCACTGCACAAGAAAAGGCTTCCTTGAACAGTCAGTTTGAACCCAACAATGAGTCACAGCGAGCAGAGTATCTCAAGGCAGAAAGTATAGATGGTGTGTCTCGTTACTACGTTTCTTTTGTCATGACTAAACATCTTCCTACTGCCACAACCGTGCATCTCACTTTACTTGTTAGCCTGACAACCCCCACGACCTGTTCACGGCATTGATTTCTACTAGAAACTCAAAAAAGGTCACATCGCGATGATCGTTAACAAGGTTTAAACTAACGTAGCAGGACTGCGAGACAGCCAGAGGACAGCATCAGTCACACTGTCAGAGGCCCATCAACACTGACAACAACGAGATCCAAAAATAAAACAGCACCCTGGGAGACGTTTGTCTAGCTCTTTCAACTCGACAGCTGATTCACGCGGCCTGGCTCACCATGCCAACTGAGCCGAGCATTGTTGCAGACGCAGCCAGACAAACACCGACCACAGCGTTTAAACACAAACAATACAAATGAAATCAAAAGGTCTGATTTTTTTATCTGACAATAATGTTTTTATTCCTTTAATGTCGTATTTGATTTTGAAACAATATTCAATATATACTAGAAATATGTGCATAACACTTATTCCACATAAGAATCCCCTTTCTTGACTTTTGTTTTCCTATCAAAACAGTAGTTGACTATGCTTAATCTTTACAGCATCATTATATCTCATCTATGAGCTATAATAGTAGTACCTTTTATTTTGTGGTGAATACCAGGAACAGGAGTTAAAAAAAAATAAAGGTGGAAATACTGCAAAAGGAGCTTCAGGAGACTGAGGACAAGCCGCTAAATAAAGCGACCAGTGGAAATAAAAGTGGGCTGAACTTACTGAAGATCAGAGGGGATGACGAGCCTCTCTCTCTTTTTTTCCTGCTGCTGGGTAATTTCTTCTCATCATCAAAGACACTATCTTTTTCATCATAAACTGTGGATTTGCATTACTCTTATCTCTGGATTTTATGGACTTATGGACTTTATGGACTACATGGAATTTTTTCTACTTGTACTCAGACTGACTTATCTATGTGAGCTACGCTGTCTATAAGGAGAGACTGAAGAGCGTGCGCTGGTGTGTGGGACTGTGTGTATGAGCGTACTGGAATGAAATATGATGGAAAATTAATTTAATAAAACGAATCGGTATTTTCGTAACTCCTTGTAACACATGAAACCTACTGGAGATCTTAAGATAGTATTTATCCCCATCTTCTATATTAGTACACCTACAATTGGTATATGTAGCTATAGACAGAGAAAGAGGGGCACAGGTCTGAAGGTTCAAAAAGGGAGACCGACAGTCAGTAAGAGCTCGACATTAGCAGCCTGGCAGACAGGATAAGATAACAGATTCGCTGACATTACACGCTTCTAGCAAATTATCACCCCATCCGTTGCTCAGGGAACAAAATGAGCTGAGAGAGTAAGAAGCGGCAAGCTCGTCAGGAATCCCACGATACATCTAAGTTGTTGAGCACTTCACCATAAGAGTGTGCATATGTGTTTACAACAGAAGCCATTACTGACCAGCACATAACCAAAGGGGCTGAGTCTCTCCATGCAGACTTCGCTCCACTGGTCTGTGAAGAGGGCGTCTTTCAGTCTTTTGTTAATCATTGAGTTTACTTCCTGCAGCCTTGAAGAAAAACAAAAAAAGACACAGAGCAGGGTAAAAGGGTCAAGAGCAGACAGACAAGGAAAAGGAGCTAATGAGAGCGTGCTTTGATAATGTAATCAAAGCACTTTTGTTTTTTCCATAAGGAGAGAGAGACATTCAAATCTGGGCCTGACTGCTCATTAGATGCATTGTATTGCAGCGCTGACGTGCATATAAACAGGCCAATCGGCTTTAATGCTGAACAAATGAGATAGTCGAGGCAAAACACTCACCCGATGATGTACATGTCTGTGTTTCCGTCACCCACATTCAGCCCGAGCAGAGAAGTGATGTCATCGGGTGGTGTGGCTGAACCCACATTCCAAGTGACGATGTGCAGCCTGTTGGAAAAGGGCGCTATATAAAAAACTCTTGCAAGCACTCATCTCCTGCTCACCTGTATCGCAACCTGCAGACAAACCTACAGTGAATGCAACAGCAGATCACCTCGACAATAATGCTTTCAGTCGATGTTTCACTACAATGCAAAGCCTTGACTGTCTTTCAACATTATGTGACATCGTCTACAAATCACTTAAACAGAACAGGCTTATTTTAGCTTCACATAGTCACTCATTTTGATTCATACTCAGGAAAACTTTACTAAATTACTTAAAAAATATCAAATTAAAATAAATGGCACTGAAAGCCAGCCGCAACAGACAAACTGATAATATTGTTTCCCAGCACCTGGGCCAGTCAAAGACATGCATACAAAGTAAATAAAACCTAAGTCACTCATATAAATGTAAATGTGAGGACATGTTTGTCTTTGTAGCTCTAATTGGCTCTTTAAAAGACTAGAGACCTCCAGGGTAAACCCTGCCTCTCAGCCAGAGTGTACACTGGGCCTGGATCCAGTTACATGCAATACTGAGAAAATGGATTTTAATGGAGTATAACATGCCTTGATCCTAAAGTTTCTACTTTATATGCCAAACAAATCCAAGGGTGTAAGATGTGGTGAGGATACTGTCACCTCTCTTCATCCTAAATAAAGGACACGTCTCATAATCTGATACTATACTTTAAACATCAAAACTTTTAAGCATACCAATAAGTATGAAACCTCTTCCTAATGCAGGGGGGCTAATTGCTTTTTACAGTGCTCAGCATCTAATAGTGTTATCATTAAATTAATCTTCATTGAACTTCTTATCATTAGCTTAATTTTTGTGCTTCTATAAAAAACGATCCCCTGAGGATCCACTAATCAGTGTTACTACAACCTTCATATTTGGTGTTACGGCTCTGCTGCTATCCCTCTGAAGCCACAGCAGCAGTACAACCAGCAAGTAAGAACAGCCCAGGCATCAACAACAACAATTATTGAGCCTGACACAGCAAGAAAGGTGCAGTGGGGTGGAGGTGGGTTGCCAAGGGGCTTGTAGATGCGCAGCAACTGTGACTAGGCCAAAGCAACTTCAATAACATGGTTTCACTTCGTAAATGGGTTATTATGTAATTTATAAAAACATGAAATGTCTATAATGAAACTTTTCAATATTCAGGCCATTATTCCCAAATTTTTACGCACAGAAACAATGATAATAAAAATACAGTGACATCATTCTGCAAAAACTTGCCACACTTTTGCCTCATGTTTACTATGATCGCAACCTTCCAGTGTCACTATCAATGAATATAAATAAATGTGATGTGTGCCACAGTTAATCTGTCTCAGCTGTCTGGGCAGGACAGGGCCTGCCGAGGCATGCTCAGACACACACACACACACAGGAAACTTGCCTGAAGTCTTCCACAGTCTGCGCCTGAGTGTCAGCTGTACCTGCCACAGAGAGAGCTCTCTGTGCATGAGGGTTCAGGTGATGAGGCACATGCCTGCTGGCAGATGGGTGGGGCACGGAGGCAGCTCTTACTGGGTGGTGGCCTGGACCTTTAGGACCAGCCTTAATGCCGGGCCCAGTATACTCTTCTGAGAGCTTGACTGCTGAAGGGTGAGAGGGTTTGGAATGACTGGCCACATTGCCATCAGGGTCGCACTCCTCCTGGTTAGGCAGTGCAGTGGATTCTGCTTTGGGCTCGGCTTTGAGTTCAGAGATATCTACAGAGCCCTCAACTCTGGCAGTCCTCTGCGGCCGCCGAGGCCTGGCAGGCACTGCGTGTTGGCCAGTGCTAGAGTCGGTGGCAAGAGCTGACGTATCTGAAGGCGTAGCTGAAGTTGCTGTTACAGCTGCTGCTTCGCTGTTTGGGTTGCCTTCTGAGGTCTGGAGCTGGGTTGGATTATCTTGGTCCATTTCTTAAGATTTCTGTGACGACAAAAACAGACTGTATCAACTCAGATGGCACACATTACGTTTGTATTTTAGAGCATATATTAGAAAATATAACGCTGTGTAATAAATGGAGCTAACAAAGCACACAGTGAACTTGTAACACTGCACAACACAACCTGTAGCCTTTTTAACAAATGACACACCAATTCAGCTGATGACTAAAAGACCGTCATAAGACTGACCCAGCAGAACAACTGAGTGAGTCATTCTGGCTCCCCGCATCATGAATGTACAATTACCTGGTTTCTTATGGCCTTGGAAACAGCTGAATGTACCGAATACAATGACGAAACAAAACTCACATAACAGAATAAAGAGCATAATGCATAACGAGACACAAAGAGGCATGTTGTCTTACTGTGGCTACAGGATTGGACATTTTGTGAATAAAAGCCTGGACGCAGTTCATCATCCTCTCTGCTTCTACCTAAGCCCCCTGCCCGTCCTCCAGTAACCAGGGAGATACTCAGTCAGTTCATATCAGCTCAAAGCACCTGTCACACACTAACACGAGGAACCACTGCACGGTCCAGAAGAGCAAAAAGCAACAGCCCAGAATAAACCACAACAGCAACAGCGCAGAGAGAGGAAGCTGCAGAGAGATAAATAACAAATTCAAATAGGCCATTTATTCACGCAACGACGTATTCAATCATTGTCCTTATCTCATTTGCGTTTCTCGACTGTGGATTGATAAAATACAAAAGCAGCACAAGCTACTGAAGTCCCATTTAAATGACAATTTTTAATCTAAGTGCAAAAAATGTGCACCATGTAAAAATCTTAGGGACAGGTCAGGGACAAGCTGGAAAAAAAGCTGATTTGGGCACAAAACGGTGACGGATCTGCGAGTCAGTGGCGTTTCAAGTGTAACGTGTGGGGGTGGTGGTAGTAGTGAGGGTGAGGACAAACCTAACCTTCTGGGTGAAAATCACAGGAATCATTGGGGACACAGAGGCAACACAGCTCCCTCGTATTTATTCACATGACCTTGAGCAGCAGGAGGTTGCGGCTTTAACGCAGGGAGGAGGGTCACCTCTGTATTCCACATGTGCTCATTAACATGCTGGTCTTTCAGTTCACCAATAACCTGGTGCCTGACTGGGTATAAAGTATTCTTATGATCCATGTATGACATTTAGTCGGGTGGGGGAGCATGAAGGAGGAGGGTGAGCGGGCACACGTGGGAGTGGGTGGGTGCAAAACGAGCTGAGGGCAGCGGGAGGAAGAGCCAAGCGAGTCAGCCCTTCATTCAGCGACAGCACCGAGTCTTTTTGCAGAATGTCTCCAAATTGATCCTCTCACACTTCCCTCTGGCACTGTGTATTTTTCCAGGCTTTAATCCCCCCTGCTCTCTTATCGTTCCACTTCTCTAATCCTTTCCCTCCCCATCTTCCAAATTCTGTTGTTCCGGCTTCCAACCTTTAGTGTATGGACACCGAACTGCTTAGTTTTTGGATGTAGACTACTCCCGAGCTAAAAACGTTCCATTTCTTTCCTCTCTTAACCCATCTGGACTAAAAGGTGACCCTTGAGGCTCTGTGTCGTCTTCTCTCAGCCAGCCACCTCACAGCCACTATCAACGCAAGACATCATATGCTACCGTCACAACAACCATACAGAGATTGTAATCAATGGTAAAGAATGTTCAAGTGCTCAGAGATGTGGAAAAATGAAAAATGAGAGAGAAGACTGAAAATCTAGATCGAGTTCAGTTCATCTTTCTAACATTCTCATTTCCTTCTTGCATGACGGAGGAAGAGCCAAATATTTGCCTTTCTGGGAACAATTACGACAGGCTGCCAATTTTTATTCCACTCACGTTCAGAGAGGAGAGAGTGGAATGATTTGATAATAACAAATGTGTCATAGTGTTTACATGCAGCCTCTTGAGGGGGTGAGAGCTGAGAGAGCCAGGAAGGATGTGGTGTAACCCAAACAGCAGGCTCCAACCAGCCTCCTTGGCTTCTTTGGTGGGATTCACTGACTATACAGTTTTGGATGACAGTCACACACTATTTTTTCTTCTATTTCCACACACGGACTTTGATCTTTTGTAGTGGCTCTGTGATAGACTGGCAACCTGTCCAAGGTGTAACTGCCTTATGACAGCTGGTATAGACTCAAGGTCAACCATGACCCAAAACTGGATGGATGGGTGGAGGGATTTAAACCACTGGCTCTGAATTACAGTACTGACACCAGTTTTGGGATCCACCAATTAACTAACAATACACTATCATTCATACGCTTCATTATCATTATCATTTTTCAGGTTTTAAAATATTGCAGTTGAGCTATTTTTTAAAATTACAGCTGAAAGAAATATACTTAACAGCAAATGTACTAAGGTCACCTTGCTGGTACTTGATTGGACTCCTTTTGCCTTTAGAACTGCATTAATTATTTGTTGCACAGATTTAACAAGGTCCTGCAAAAATTCCAGGATCTGAGTTCAATTCCACCATCAGGTGGAGTTTCTGTGTGGAGTTTGCGTGTTCCCAGAGTCCAAAGACATGCAGTTAGTGGAGATAGGTTAACTGGAAACACACAACCGTGGAGGTGAGCATGAATGGTTGTCTCTGTTCTGCGACCTGTCCAGGGTGTACCCTGCCTCTCGGCCTAAGACAGCTAGGATAGGCTCCATTGCGACCCTGTAAAGGGTAAGTAGAAGTGAATGGATGGATTGTTCATCACATTGTTCCTGCACATTTGTCAGCTGCACGTGCATGATGTTCCACCACACCCTAAAGGTGCTCTATTGGATCTGGTGACTATGGAGACTATTTGAGTGCAATGAACTAATCATGTTCAAAAAATTGTTTGCGCTTTGTGACATGGTGCGCTATCCTGCTGGAAGCAGCCATTAGAAGATGGGTACACTTTGGTAATAAAGGGATGAGCATGGTCAGCAATAATACTCAGGCAGGCTGTGGCGTTTAAACAATACTCTGTTGATACTAAAGGGCACAAAGTGTGCCAAAAAAATGTCCCCCCACACTACGTCACTACCGGTAGCATGAACCATTGACAACAGGCAGGATGGATCCATGCTTTCATGTAGTTTACACCAAATTCTGGCCCTACCATCTGAATGTTGAAGCACAAATCAAGACTCAACAGACCAGGCAATGTCTTTCCAATCTTCTGTTGTCCAATTTTGTGACTTGTAGCCTCAGTTTCCTGTTCTCAGCAGGAGTGGCACCAGGAATGGTTTTCTGCTGCTGTAGCCCATCAGCTTCAAGGTTTGATGTATATTCAGAGATGTTTTTCTGCATACCTTGGTTATGAGGAGTGGACACTTGAGTTATTGGTACCTTGCCATCACCTCAAAGTAATCAGGTCGTTCTCCTCTGACATCTAATATCTACAAGGTGCTTTTACCCAGAGAACCTCTAATCACTGAATATTTTCCCTTTTTTTAGACCAGTCTCTGTAAACCTGAGTGATAGTTGAGTGTGAAAACCCCAGCAGACCAGCAGTTTTTGAAATACCGAGACCAGCCCAGCAGCAACCGCGACACATTCAAAGTTACTTAAATCATCTTCCTTCCCCATTCTGATTCTTGGTTTGGACTTCAGCAGGTCGTCTTGACATAACCAAATGCCCTGAGTTCCTGTCATGTGATTTGCTGATTAGATGTTTGCTTTTATATGAATAGGTGTATCTAATATAATGACCAGTGAATGTGGAAAACCTCGGGCTCTATGGACAAGACTGATTTGGGAGAATTTTGAAAGTTTCCTAATTGCTTCTCTTCTAAATTTAATCTGAGGTAACCACACAGCCCCACTGACATTACTGTGTGCACGATCTGATATCCACTTGTTGGTGTTGTTCCCACATCATCATAATTATTGTTGATCCAGGTTCAACATTGTAAGTGACCAGTCACTTTGGTGTGATGTCATAGTTGTGCAACTACAAATAAATGCCTTAAAAAAAACTACTTCACTTGCAAGATCTTTACTAGATCCAGCATTTTGAATTCTTTGCCCTTAAGAAGCATTTTGAGGATATTAGATTGTCTTTAGTGTAGCCTCTTCATTTACTGTGCCCAGCTTGCATGCAGTCTAATAAAAATGGTTCTGGTGTGTTTACATTACAGACACATTCCCCCATACAAGCACCTCCGGGCTTAAAGACTTTAATTGGCTTTCTGAATTGTTTTGCCTTGCTGACCATCAAAGCCCCCCGACTACACCACAAGTTCATTAACGTCTGTTCAGCTGACCCTCATTCATTTGACAAAAGCCACTGCGACGAGTCATGGAATACTGACACAGGTAAGTCCAACTACCAAGGGAATCATTTAGAGCATGGCTTAATTAAAAATTATATCTATATTTTGGATCAAATGGAGAAGGAATTAAATACATTGAAATGCCAATGTTTTATCCTATTCCTTGTTCACACACAGATTCCAGCTGACATGCCAGTCACATTTTGCCCTCTTTAGTGTTGAATGCTGGAGTTACAGCCAAGCAGTACATTGGTGTTGAGAGCCTCCAGAGCCATATGCCCCTGTGACAGGGATACTAATGATGACCCGTACTGAAACGACACCGGCAGCTGCTGCCACAGCTGTAAATGGCTCCTCCAGGTCCTAATGCCACTGAGTATCGCTCCTCTGTATCCAAGGGGCTGCATCTTTCTGATCAGGTCATAGCCAGGGCTGCAGGATGTCACTATGATTTCTCCTACAGTCTAACACTTAAGACACGTGCTGACAACACACAGTGCGCTGTCTGCACTGCAAAACTATGTTGTGAGTTGCAATTTCCAGTTCTGTCCATTACCAATTATAGAAATCAGTCGAATGGAAAGATTCACTTCCTAAAGCTTTCTGCTTTGAAGACTCTCCATAGGGAACATTGGTCACCATGTTGCAAAAGCAGCATCTTATATAGCGAGTTATCTTCATGCATATGTTTGTTGCACACTGTCAAGTAATTGAGATGAATGTAGCTAAAGGAATGTGAAACAGCTTCCGACCGTGTGGACTAATGTCTGCATTTGCAAGATAGCAAAAGGATCTCTCACAGAGACGTTGGTTCATTACTCACAGTTTTCCTTCCTGAGCAGTATTTAAATACAAGCCAAAGAAACTGATTTAAATCACAAAATTCTGCAACTGCATCTTCGCATCATCGCTGTAATCATTCTTGTATACACTGACATAAGCATTGAGTAATAATCAGTCCTTTGAGCTGACATTACACACACTGTTTTGAAATACGGAGTGGAGACATTCTATCATGACCCCCACCCCCCACAACTCCTATTACATGTAAGGGATTAAGTAACTGAATGGTTTACCTCATAATGCTACATTTATAACAAGAGTCAGTTAAATGACACACACACACATTGTGTAATATGCAAACATCCCTAACAAGCCAACAGTGCTTTTCATTCATCTGATATCTTGTATGTAAACATTAGAATCTTGCATGTAAGCCTGCTGTAAATATTCACTTTTCCTGTGCCACAGATGGCTGTGACACCTCGGCTGGAACAAGAACAGCAGCCGAGTACTTGGCCTAATTACACTCTTCCTTCAAGGACAGGAAAAGAGAATGAAGGTCAGTTTTAACAGTGCTGTGTTGTGCATCATATCTGAGTTGAGATACTAAGTCTGCATGTGTTTGTGAGCCCTTATGTATGAGATGAGGGTGGAAAAGATGACAAGCAGCCTGTGGGCATGCGTGTGTAAAGCGATGCAAAAGGTGGAAAGACAGTTTTTAATTTTAATTTTTTTTTGTTAATGTCTTGCCATACTTTCATATTATAAACAAATGATGTAGCGCGCACGTGTACGCACACATCCACGGCAACGAAGTCAGGTTTCTGGAATTTTTCTGCAGCTGCTCTTAAGGCGTAACAGCAATTAACACTTCCTGTCTCGGTAACGCAAGCGTCTCTATATGTATTCTGTTTTAAGAAAAGCTGAAAGTTGTGTAACAGAAGCATATCGTTGTAACGCCGCAAATGCTCCTAATAGGTTTCAATCGAGAACATAACGCATGCGTGTCTCATTAATTATCACCTTTACCTGTTTGCGATCGTCTGCGCCGAAAATTTTTAAGAGCTGGGGTTCTGCAGAGTCTGTCTGTCTGTCCGGAGCGCCGATGGAAGATGGGAATTTACAGGAAATTATAGAAAGAAAAAATTGGGGAAAAAGAAACGCGCTCAACTTTTATTTCCAGTCGCCTCTCTGATGAAACCATCGGCATCTCAAGCGCTTTTCTCGCCTTCCTTCCTTCCTTCCTTCCTCAGCGGGAGGTAGGAGAGAGGAGGAGCTGGTGGGTTTAGCCAGGCAGGCTACATGCCTCAGAAACACATTCCCCCTTCTTGTGTTTAAAGACACAGGCTGCAGCAGCACGTCCGTGCCCCGTGCCCTTCAAATTACAGAAGTAAGGACGGTATGAGAGAGCGCGAGCGACCAAGAGCGCTTCCGTAAACGAGCAGCCGCTGTCTGCCAATGTTGGCGGACGATTACTGTGCAGAGTGAGTCAGAGTCTGCCAGAACTGCGACTACCAGAAAGGACACTGGGCAATTAGGCTGCAACTACAAACATGGCTTCCGCGCGGATGTACACTGTTTGCCACGAGAACACACTAAATGATGCACAATGTCAGGGTGCAAGTTTTTTTTTTTTAAAAAAAAGAAAGAAAAGACAAGAAAAGAAAGATGGAAAACGTACATTAGGAACGTCAGATCTATGTATTCTCACTCTATGATGGCGCACTCCTGCTGTCTGGTGGTTACTGTGTTGAAGAGCGTGGGAGAAAATTAGCGAGGCTTGTATGCCTTTAACTTTCAATCAAATAGCAGTGACTGAGTCATTTTAATGCTCTTTATAGTAACAGCTGAACAAACCCCCAGATGTGCTTCTTTCTGTTTGTGGATTTAGGATTTGGCACAGCCCCCAAGCGCAACAGCGTCATTGCCGGTCAACAGTGGTAGCGCCTGTGCTTTGGTGACACTAAGAAAAAGGCAGGGCCGACAGGATTAGAAATGAGTACATCAGAGGGACAGCTCAGGCTGAGGTTTGGAGACACAGTTCAAGAGGCGAGGCTGAGATGACGTGGACATGTGCAGAGGAGGTATAGTGGATATACTGGGCACAATTATGCTGAATATGAAGCTGTCAGGCAGGAGGAAAAGAAAGACCTCGGAGAGAGCTCATGGATGTAGTGAAGGAGGACATGCCACAAAGGACACAGGTGTGACAAAGGAGGATGCTAGGGATAGGGTGAGATGGTGGTGACCCCTAAACTCTGTTGCAGGGCATATTATTTAAACCAATTTTTGACAGTCCTCAGATCTCATCTCACTGCTTAGAGACACTAGCTGGAGTTCCATAAATTGCTGCACTGTTCTTCCTCCTCTTAGATGTCTTTTTACACTGTCCATTAACAACAAAAGGCAATAAATGGCCTTCCACGGCTCCTCAGTGGTGAACATGCTCTCCTACAGCCTGGGTGTTGGGTACGCAGGGGCCACAACTGAGAACAGGAAGGCTGTGCAGAGGGAAATTAACACCAACCAAAAAAATCCTTGGCTGCTCTCTGCCACCCCTGGAGGCGATCGCCAGATCTTCCTATCTCAGAAAAACCAGGTCCCGCACCTTCACACTCATAAACAGCTTCTTCCCCTGGGCCACTCAGACTGTCAATAAACACTATGCCCCCCACACCCCACCTCTGCTCACCTTCCTCACCAACCTGAGCCATGGTCTGAGAAACCCTCATCACTCAGGCCACTCACACACGGACTCTACTCAGACCAAGTCTTATCTCTGCACTGCTTCCAAGCAACTATTGTTCTCTAATGTGTGCCTTTGTCTTATTGTTGTGTATATTCCTCTTGGTTGTATATATTTCTCCTGTTTGCTGTTTATTCCTGCCATCTACCATTTATATTTTATTCCGGTACAGCATGTACAATGACACAAAAGGACTATACTATTCTAAATAATTTAATCAGGGCAGGTTTCTTAAGTTTCCTTTCTTACTTTTGATTGATGGGTGGGGGCTTTATTATAATAGAACAGGGGAGAAAAGAATGAAGAGCAGGGAGAAAGACAATCAGTAAATAGCCTCAGGCCAGATTCTAACCCAGCATTTAGCCTCCCGTCAGACCACAATAGTTTTATTCCATTTCATTCCAATTAGTTTTAAGTCATATGGGTCACCTGCTTTGCCTGATGAACTAAACCATCACCCAGTGTTGCACATTTGTACCTTATGTCACTTATTAAACATGTAATATACTCACTTCCTAGTTATGGGTCAATGATACAGTGATAATGATGTATCTTTGTGTAATGTTTTTTCATTACTTCTAATTATCGTTATTGTATTTACTGCATATAAATGTCAAAATAAAGACTTGGAACTAGTGCACTCACTGTCATAAATACCGGTTTATTCAAAGAGGGGGAAAAAACTAATTAGCCTGTGGAAACACCTGAGGGTACCTCATGAGTCTCACTGGTACTTAAAAATGCATGAGTCAAAAACTGAGTGTGTGTTTATGTCTGTGCTATTTAGGGCCAAGACTTGGGAAAAGCCGTGCACTGTGGTTAGCTTGAAGCTGCTAACAGTACCTACACTAGACCTTCATAACACTACCTGTAACAAACAGTTAATTATTTATCTTAACTTAATGCATGAACATTGATGCATTTTCACATTACTACAGAAAAAAAAATATAACAGCATGCACAATCCTTAGTCTAGGACACTCCTTATTCTCAAGAATTCTGCTCAATGTTTACAAGCTGCTACACTGGTCACTTTAAATCACTTAAAGGTCACTTTAAATAATTCAAACTATAAATTTTAAATTGTTATTGATACTTTTATCTCCTAATCTTAAAGTGTATATTTATTTTCTTACCCTTCTTATATTTATTGTTTGTTTTTCTTTTGCACTGATGTAACCATTCCTCCCTCCTTTGAATTTTATACAACCATCGTCCCTTACTTTCCTCCTCCCGCTGCTTTTGCCATCTTGCTCTCATATCTTGCCTTACCATACTCCTTATCTCTGCTTGGCCAAAACTAACAGCCATGTCAACCACCCCATGTTTTACGGCCTCCTTTGCAACTCTGCCTTTTGATTCGCCCATACTCCATAGTGCGCTGGAACCCATAAAAACACAACTGCAAGTCCCATCATATGTATCCGGAAAAGTGACTGCTGAATTTCCGCCAAAGCATCTGCTCTACTGTCTGAGTGACTATGCTGTAGACTGACCAATGATGAACTTGAATCTGAACAAATGACAGCATGTAAAGGTCTCACGTCTTCTTTAACCTTTCATCAAACCACAATCCAAGAAACTTAAATTTACTCACCCTTTCTAATTCTTGATCATACAACTTAAGCTTGATGTCTTTACCAACTCTCTTCCTTGTAAAAAAAACATCACCTTGGTTTTATCAACTGAAAATTTAAAACCCCACTTATAAGACCACTCTTCGACTCTTCTAATTGTTCCCTGCAGTTTCTTCACAATATACTCTATATTTTCCCCTCTCTTCCATATTGCTCCATCATCAGCAAAAAGTGAACATCCCACCCCTGCCTCTATATCATTAAACACATCATCTATCATCAAAGAAAATAACATAGGGCTCACTATGCTCCCTTGAGGTGTACCATTTTCTACCAAAAACCTTTCAGAAAAAACCTTCCCAATCCTCACTTGAATATGTCGCCCCTTTAAAAAATCCATTATCCACTCGTACATCCTCCCCCTAATACCCAATTTACAGAGTTTAATTAGTAGGCCATCTCTCCACATCATATCATAGGCCTTTTCTATATCAAAACTACACTCTCACTGTTTGTTTGTGCTTTTCGAACTTCATGTTCCAAACATAAAACTGGACCCATAGTATTCCTCCTTCTTCTAAACCCACTTTGATATTTAGAGATAAATCCACAAAAGATCTTTAGCGGACTCACTGAGTTGGTTTAACATGGTATAGCATACCTGATCTTTTCCCGGTGCTGATAATTTAGATATTTGAGCATTCAGTACCTTTGAGGTTTTTCTGAAGAGTATTTTGGACTTTTCATTGTTTTGAATTGTTGCAATAAAAACATATTTGCATAAAGCAAGTATATTTGTTCACTCCCATACTGTTAAGGGTATTAGAAACATGAAGAGTATGCTGTTGAAGTTTCTTTAGAACAGATTTAAAAAACAAATCTGATTAATTTGCTATTAATCTTGAGTTAACTATTGATAAGTATGCGATTAATCGCGACTAAATATTTTAATCGACTGACAGCCCTAATAAAAACATAACATTTGTCCCAGTGTTGTGACTGACTTATTTGTCACCGGTGGCACCAGTGAAGTCTATTTATAAACGAGTTTCACACAAATGAGCTTCACTTGACGCGTAAGAAGTCTCAGCACAGCAGTCCTGAAAGGGACATCCTGAAAACAAAGAAGCTGATCAACAGCACAGTGAGTTCAGGGAGGTGAGCTGTGAAGTTGTAGTTTACCTCATTGATGTTCGCGCAACTTATTTCCACGGTTTTTTCAAGTGAGATAAACCTGACACCCTTCTTAACTCAAGGGGAGGTCCTCCTCCTTCCTGTTGTTTCAACTAATGGTTTACATACCGTCACCTGCTGCTTTAACCCCGGAAACAGAGCAGTGCAAACACAGCAAACAGCTCCAGTTTTTCTTCTTCCCAGAAATGTTTATATAGGAAGATTTATCCTTTATATTTAAACAGGAGAACAGCGAAAGAAGGTAAAATACAAGTAAGTTGGATTTATTTCATATTCGGATCTAATATTTCTTGAGCTCAGCGCTCACCGGTCACTGTGAGAACTTTTGTAGTGCGGGGCACCTGAAAAGTCTGCTCCCACACAGGGTTGTGACTCATTAAATAGTCCTTGACTTGGTAAATATCACATTTCCTTCACGGGACTCTGAGTTTTTCAACCACAATCCTTTACAACAATCGATCTTCTTTAATCCTCCTAAATCCAAGATTACACAGGCTAAATAACTTTGCATAGTTCACCCTCAGGATCAGTCTACCATATAATCCAGTGCATTTAGGAATTTAAAATTATGCTGTTATTAATGTAACATGTGTCACTTTGCACAAAAGGACATCAAAAAAAAAAAGAAGAGCACGCAGACAATAACAGAGCTCTTTCCTTTGTCCATCTCTACAATTACACCGCCTGTGACAGCCTATAGAGCGCGCATGAAATCCATAAGGAAGCCTGGAATAACCAATGAGCGCGCTAACCACGCCTGCTCCTCTCTCCGCCACAAAAATATTTGACGTGGCAAAAGGTCCGGACGTGACATAGCTGCTCATCATCTCTCCTCCCTCCTCTTCCATAGCTCGGTTACCTTCAATCATCTGCAGGTACTGGTCCCGGTGAAGAGCGAGTGCGGCTCCTCGATCTGAAGCAGGAGAAATGTGGCTGATCGTGTTGGCCAGTTTACTTCACTGCGCCTCGGCTTATGATGTGGATCTGAAGAAGCTGGAGGGGCTGGCAAGAGCGAGGGTGGAGGTAACATAAGGCTTTATTTTTTCATAATCCTCCGCATAAAGAAGAACACGGAAATAATCGTGTCAGGGCCAATTATCGTTTAAACGTGTGAATGGGTGCCCTGCTTTTAAACATTTTTGGATTGGGCGCATGCGTGACCAGGACAGATGTGTACTAAGGTGAATGGATGCCTCCGTGCTTGAATGGCCTGCGATCTAATGAAGAACACGGTCTCTAATCCACATTGTTACTATTTTAGTAACCCTAAAACCGTCATCACAAAGTGACTTGGTGGAAGCTTAAAAGGGGGGCACAGGGTGTGTAACAGCCGGTCCTGCACAAAGACTGAAACTCTACACCTTTTTCTTTTGAGATCTGTGCAGTTTCCCCCAGGGTGTCACCTACCCAGTCACCTACTTGCCAGCATCACTGAAGCAAATCATGATCTGTTGTTATTGTAGTGTTAGTCACGCCTTATACCTGAGGCTCAGATATCAGCAAAAATAGGTCGGGTGGCCTTCCCTGGGGCTGTACTAAGCGTTCTTCAAAGTAAAAGCTCGCAGTGATACCAGCACATAAATGATTTTTTTCTGTATAAAGATGCATTACAGTTGCAGATGACGTGTGTTCAGTAATCATGTTTCCAGTTCTTGTAAAGCCCCATTTCTGAAACACGAGCTCTGCATGTAACTTTTTCTTGTTTCTTGTGTTGTTGTCTTTCCTCAGACGTGTGGTGGATGACAGCTGAACAGGCTCAGAGAGGCAAGTTGCCCTGTTATGTGAACAAAAGTGACAAAACACTGAGAGCCAGGGGTCAGAGGCAGGCTAAAGCCTTACTCCTGCCTAGAAGTTTTTTCTCTCTGAGGAACATTTTAGTTTAGAGTTTCACATAATCCCTGACACATTTGCCACTGAAACCCAAACTGAGTGGAAAACACTAATCCAAACCTCTGTCTGCAGGTCAAAGCCTTTGTGATCCAGGATATTCCTCTTTAGTATCCTTTCACTGAAGTGCACTGTTACTCTTTAGAAATATCTGCTCATAAACTGCACGCTGTTTAATCCCTGAGCACCACCTCAGCCATAACCTGGTGATGAAGCACATTCCTGGCGCAGACCCTGAGCTTGTCCTCCTGAACCATTATTATGAAGAGCTGGACGTAAGTGTGTGTTGTGCCTTTCTTTTATTTTCCTTTTTTAAATTGTATTTGTTGTTTACTTGCAGCAAATATGACACTCGTTTGTGCTGAATGTCAGATTCAGTTTAACAACTGAAGTAAAGCATCTCACCACCAACACTTGACATCATTGCTCGAAGAGATTACAGCTGAAATGATGACAAACAGGTGTCCTGTGACCGCTGAGCAGGCTCTGAGCTTTTCCCGTCTTTTGGATTAAAATAACTTCAGAAGGAAACAAGAAATCTGCAGAGCACAGGTCATTCTACAGATATATCCCACTTTGATATGACAAGAATTTACTTCTAACATTTAAACTTGAACTAAATTATTACTTAACTGACTATTTAGTTACAAAAATGACAGCTTTTTTCCCACCAAATTTCAAAGCCTGGTTGTGCTGTGATTCTTTTTTTTCCCCCTCAACGGTGTTTCCTTACTCCTTCTGCAAGTCTTCAGGCGTTTTAATGAATATTATTTCCTCAGGCTCTTCAGCCACGTAGTCGGTTATAATAATCGTGCAACAAATCAGCAGATTGTCTTATTAATTTCGTACAATTAAAAGTAAGTAATCCTTCATATGTTAAGCCTTAAGTGTAGCAAAATTCAATGGCTGTGAAATTATCTGGTCAAATATGACATGTTTTATTTTATGTGACAAAAAAACAGTGACGCAGTGAACCATCTGCTGAGATATTAGACACCCAAATTAGACGTACTTGATAAAAAGATTGATAATGATACAGAACAGTTAGAATTTACATAAAATACTAAAGTTTTACTCCAGAAACAGCTTGTAATGTTTTTGTGTAATTGGGAGTCACAGCATGTCAGTCACCTGACATGCTGTCAGTCACCTCATATTCATTAAGTTCTGTCATTTAATCAATTTATGTATTTTGCACTTCCCTAAAAGTAAAGTGAGTAACACCAGTGACTTTAACTAAAAGCTTCAAATTATTAAATAAGAGAGGAATTCAGATAAACCACTTACCACTAGCAATTCAAAACAATAGACTTTTCTCATGCAGTTACACAAGTTCAGCTTTGTTGTGTCATGTTTGAAATATATGTGGTAGTCCTATTATGGCGTTTTAAATGGTAAAAAGCATATTTTTGTGGTCAAAATACAGCATTGAATCACTATACTTGACTGTGGGGATGAGCATTTTTGTGATGGTCAAACTTATTTATCACTTAACAAACAAACAAAAAAATTGTTGAACTGAATATTCGAGAAGATGTAATAGTTCGGATAACGTTGTATTTCAATGTGGAAATAAATTGTAACCCTAAAGTGTTTTTCAAGTGTAATATTTTTGTAAATGCCGGGAGCATTTCCGTGGAATGACTCGCAGATCACTTTGTTTGATCTGAGGCTTCTTTGAAATTTTAAAGTACTCTTATGATTTAATCAGATTTTTCTCCTCTTTACTTTTCCTGTTCTCAGGTGTTATTTTGTTTTTAACTTCAGCCATATCTTTTATATAGCCTTATTTTTTCTTAACTCCTGTATTTGTTGCCGTGGTTGTGGTTAACAGCCTTTATCGCTTTTTTTTTTTGCACCTGTTGTTCCTTCCTGTGACGTCTTGTATGTTTGCATTGTTAATCAGCCTCCACTGGAAAGCTCTTTGGGCCAGTTCCCATGCTTTTAAATGGGTTGTATAAATACAACTGTCTGTTATGACATTAAAAAGAGCAGCACATTGGCCAGAAAACTGTAACAAGGATCCAAAAGAAATGTAAAATGTTTCAGAGCTTTGTAGTTTCATCACGAGTGATCTTTTCACACGACACATAATTCATTTGTGCAGGTTTAATGTTTTTTCAGGTTTCTTTAAACCCATCAATGCTTTACTGCACTATTAATATATTGCAGATCAGTGTCTTTTGTTTAGAGCACAGTTTAATGGTCCTTTTATAACAAGTGTGTTTCCTCCGCAGCGCGTCGCCCTGTCTGACATGACCCGCTCTGAGATAAATGAGCTGCTGGGGAAACTGGGTTTCTACAAGAAGGCTCAGGCCGAGGCCGAGGTGCCGGAGGAGTTCCGCTTCTCTCCTGCCAAAGACAGCCCGTTCAAAAATGAGCCTGCCTACCAGCCTTCTGCTTCATCTATAGCCACAGAGAGTGGCTCCTCAGAGCCCAGCACAGAAGTCAAACACACTGACCTGTAAGAGTAGACATCAGCAGTAACAGTACCCCTCTAGCTCCCTTAGCTGCTCCACAACCAGCTGATTATCACAGGTGACAGAAATGTTTGTAATTTCAGAGCCTAGCAGATTACAGATGAGCCCGTCAGCAGGCCTTTGTAGATGCTCCACAGTCTGAATTTGCACCTTTTTTTTTTTACGCCACTGTCCATTGTGTTGTCATCTGTTGTAATGAGCTTGAGCTCTTTTGTGTGTCTGTGATTGCCTCTGACCTACTGTGAAACTAAATGAAGCCTCAGGCTGAAAATCGTCTGACTGGCCTGGGGTTGATGCTGCGTGTTCTGGTGGGTTGGGCTGATGCACACAAAAAAGACTCAAGTGCATGGAAAGTAAACCATTTTTAAAAAGAAGTGTGCTCTGGCTCTTGTTGTGCTGAGTGTTTGTGTGCAGATATCCCACGCTGCCGGGACCATGGATAGCCTTCCAAGTAATAATCCCACACAAACACACGTTTGTTTCTCAAATTGGTTTATTTCACATTTAACTGTGGTGCACAGAAAAATGAAATAATGTGTTTTAGCTCTCATATATATACACACACACATACACGCATACAATACTCCACTGCTTCATGAAAGCTTTTTTTCTGTCGGCAGCAGATAGTTCTCAAATAATCTCTCAAATCTAAGAAATAAGCTTCTTTTAAATCAACTCTGAAACCAAATTTTCTTCTCGTAGAAACCCAAATTTTATACAAGTGAAATAAAATATTCATTTAAAATTATTTTTGTCCCGTTTCCTCTTAGCTACATTTAGTTAAATATACAGTTGGCTGGTTATCAGTCATGAATCCTCATGTTTGTACTGAAAGCCGGCTTTCACACAGGAAAAAATAACATTGTGGCATCTTAAGCTTATCGACAAAACCTTTTAAAAGCACGATGTGCACACCAGCGTTAACCGTATTAAAAACTACTCAAGCATAAATAAGGAGCCCTCTAACAGCTGTGTGAGAATGTGTGTGGCAGGGCAATGCAGCGGTGGTGGGAGGTGTGTGTGTGCTGTCCACCAAACAGCCAGTAATGACACAAATCAGCTGAATGACTTCTTTGTACCGAAATACAAAAAAAATCCAAACCTCAGTTTAACAGCTAGCATCTTTCATCCATACTTATATGATGGTGATGATGATGATGGTGGTGGTGGTGTGGTCATACAGGATGGATCAAATGTCCAGTAAATGTCCTCAGTAGCTGTTTGGACTTCAGAAAAGTGAGATTACAGCAACGATGTTGAATCCATTTGAATAACAAATGCAGAAAATCCCTGTGCTCACGTAATAAGAATCCTTATACTCATCAATTACATCAAAATGAAAATAACTTAATTAAAACACTTCAAGCAACATGAGTTTGGTTAAAAAAAAAAGTAAAAGTACCAAAATTGAATAGAAATAATAAGTTTTTTCTTTTTCAGTGAGATTACTGAGAGAAGTGCAAACACATTACAGTACTTACAAAAGTGTAGCAGAGAAAAACGCACGTACAAATACTGCAAAAAACTGCAAATACTAGAAAACTATTTTTCTTTTTTCTCTCTTGAGCCGTTTCTCAGTACAACAGCAATGTGATCAAACTACTGCCTGTTGAATATTACTTGGAGTTTTTTGTTTTTTTTTTAAAACAAAGGGGTCTTTTTAAGAATCATGCTGCTGCTGATCTCTTACTGGACTTTTGTGTCGACAGTGTGTGTGTGTCCAGAATAAGCAACACACATTATCACTGCCGGAAAACATTTTAAGCTGATTTTAACTGATACATACACACATGCTTACAATCCCCAAGCCGACCATCAGAGATGTGCAACTGTTTGACCCAGCCTGCTGTCAGAGCAGAGGCCATCATCAGGTGAAGGTTAGGGGGGGGGGAGGAGCCCGAAAACAGGTCAGAGGTCACAGGGCCGACCCATGGACATCTCATACCTGCGCAGGTGGTTGACCAGAGACTGCACGTAGGTGAAGACGCATTTGGAGTCTGGTTTGTTACCCATGATCATCATGTCTTCCACCTCCAGCAAAGGCATGCAGTTGGCGTGGGTCCTGAGGAACAGGCGTACAGGACAGCGTGCATGAGAAAGCAGAGCAGACAGAAGACCAGCTGGGAAGGAGAACTCATCATGTTCACTACAAGTTTCTTTTTCTTTTTCAAATAGATGATTCTTTATCTATGAATATAGTATAAATGGCCATGGAGGAGGTCTTTAACAGTAGAAACTTTGCTGCTCTTCACATTTTCCAAAGCTGTTTAGTGTGCTAGAGTCTTTGGCACATTTGCTCTAAACCATTATGGACCCTTTAAAAGCTCTGTATAAATAAACTTGGGTAATGTTGGGCATTTCAATAAACAGTTTTAAGAACTGAGACCTCCAGTGTGAGCTATGCAGAGCGTAACCACAAGGTGGCAACATCTCCTCACACTCTAACTCCTGAGAAATCCCACAAAGAGAAAAAAGCACCTAAAAACAGCAGATGGGCCGATGAGATAATAAACGTCAACAACGTAACATTTTTTCAGTAATTTCAGGAACTGTGGACATAAATCAGTCTGCACTTTATTTCTATTAGAGTATCTTTACAAGGCTTGACAAGCCAAGTGCATAAACACCTGTAACCTTACACTTGATAAAAACTTGGTGCACAAAGCAGGCTTCATCCTTCTCTGTTTTTTTTCCTTAACTCTGTTTGAAACGTTGTGATCCGGCAGTTCCTTTTAAAGCACTGATCTGCAGATGGTCCTGGCCCTCTGCCTGAGCCATAGTCTCAGAATACAGATACACACATGCTATCACACACACACCATGTTTGGTACTTTGGAGCTTCAGATTAACATGAAGCATCAAATATCCAAAAGAAGCCAATAAAGGAGTTTTTCTGTGTTTTACATTTTAAGTCTGTCGGGAACCACAGAGTGTGTGCGGTTCCCTCACAAGCTCGTCCCCTCTCTCACCATAGGCTCAGTTTTAGCTGGGGTGCAACTCTAGGAGGAATTTTTGGTTTTAACCAGGCCCTTCGTCACCAGACCCCTGTAGAACTCCTGCAGGTACGTGTACACACACTTCCAATCTGGCTCACGCATCTTCACCATGTCGTCCACATCCAGCAGCTGGGGACAGTCCACTAGTTTCCTGCACCCACGGCCAGCGGGGGAAGGGGGTAGAGGAAGGGAATAGGGAGAGGAAGGAAAGGACCCAAAAAGACAGAAACAACGTGGATAGAACAGGAAACACAACAGGCAAAGGACAGATAAAAAGACACAGAAGGAACGGGACGGAGAGAGTAGACAAAGAGATGGAGAGTGTGGGAAAATGAGGAAGTGGGAGTGGGAAAAAAACCAGAAAGCAGTGAGCAGCCAGTGAAAAACAAAAACAGAAGGAGTGAGAAAGAACACAAAGAAAAAACAATCACATTACATTCTGTGTTCACAAATATATCCATGAGCTGACATGCTTCATGAACATCTCAGTACATACATACAGTGCGTGACAAAAACACGTACGCACACACACAAAGGCAAAACAAAATGTCAAATGAGCGCCAGGCGATGCTCATTTAGCCTTTTTGTTTGCTGTTGTTTTTTTCTGTGCACTGAGACGAGGATGTTTTTGTTGTTGTTGTTTTTTTTTAACCATAATCAATGTGAAATACGAGACACGATGAAAAAAACAACGTGGATTCTGCAAAAAACACACAAAAAAACCCCCAAAGTTACAACGACAGAGTGACTAACAAAAACAACCACACTGGTGCACAGTATAGTGTGTGTTTGAGTGCGTATCAAGAATCCAGATAGTAAACATAAACTATTGGTGGGGATTTGGAGTGCCCGGGGAGGTGAGTGATAGTGCAACACAAAGGTGAGAAGATCTGGGGGAGTGGGTGGGGCTGTGGCTGAGTGACAGCACAGTGCTGAGTACGATTCGCTACTTGAGATATCTCAGCGTTACATTATCCTGGTAGGAGCACGTGAAGATGCACACACAGCTGGGTGGGGGTACCAAAAGTGAAGACTGGTGGCATAAAAGAGGAATTTGAAAAAGAAAAGAACAAGGAGAGGAAAGAGTTTTAGACTAAAATAGAGGGACATGACTCAAGGCACAGAGGCGAGCTTAGAAGTTTGTTTTTTTTTTAACCTGTTTGCTGTTTGGAGTGGGATTGCCCGTGGGGATCTGGTTTAGAGGAGATTGGGGTGTCAGAGCGGTTACTCATAGGAGAGGGAAGAGTGGAGGTTTAGAGGCAGCGGTATTAGAGTAGTAATGGGCTCAGTCGTGAGTGGGGTTTTGATAAACCTGGGAGAAAGGGGGAAAGCAGGACATCGGTCGAGAAGTTTTCCCATACCACTGGTCTGCAAATGCCGGCATACAGCGACACAGAATAAAGGGGAGCGGGGCAGCGAATCAAACTGGCTCATCACTTCTACACCTATAGGCCTAACACAGTAGTTCTTCCATTGGTTTCCTACAGTCACTGCAAATGTTAGGAAGAACCTGTCTTCAGCATGTACTCACTCTGCAGCGCTAAAGGCCACCTCAAAGTTTTGCCTGCGGTTGCTCGGGCTCAGGGAGTTGTAGTCAAAGGCTTCGGGGAAGAAATTGTGCACCAGGGCACAGAACGCCATGCCGTTACTCCAGCTGGATGAAAAATTCTGAATATCCACATGCTGACGAAGAAAAAGAAACAAAAGAGATACGCAGACGGGGATGGATAAGCAGTGGAAACTTTCCCAAAGTATCATCTCAGCTCAGGTTCAAGATTAAAAATGAGCACTTAGCGTGGAGGATCGCTGGCTCACCTCATATGAGCGGGTCTTGGCACGACACCAGTCGAGGAGCATCTGCTTGATGGAGTTTGCATTGGGTACGCCAAAGCTGGTGGAGCGCTGGACTTTGTTTACCTTGGCCACCGCCTGATTTCCAGGGCTAAAAGAAAAGTCAGTTTTGTGTTAATATTTACATGCCTCCATCTGCTCCTTTTCTTTCTTTGGTAGCACTACCTTTCTGTTTATTCTTACCCGCCTCCCTCCTTCTCCAGCTTCTCTATCATGGCTTTGCGGGCCTGCATGGCCGATGTCTTCGGCAGCGTCTGAGCCCTCATCAGCTCCTTGCGCCTCTCCGCCTGCCTTCGCTCGATGGCGGCCAACCCGCCGCTGCCGCTTCGCGACGACGCGTCGTCCTCGCGGTCGAACACACTGAGCGCAGGAGGTTAATTTGAGAGAGTGCACAGATATTTAAATCTGCTGTAGTTAACAGTACAAATGCCTCGTGACCAACCTTCCTATTTTTTTGCTCGTGTTAGTGGAGGTGGAAGAGGTGAAGCTGAATGATTTTGACTGGACTGTCCCTCCTAGAACGACAATCACACGGACACATTAATGAGAAGATTAAGAAAAAAAATGCAATGCACTCGAGTGAATGTGTTTTTGTAAATCCAGCAAGCAAAACTCACTGTCTGTTTTCTGCACATAACTGGACTCGACAATAGTACTGCGTGTTGATTTGCTCCCATCATCTGAAAACACACAAAAACTTTTTAAAATTGACCATTCTTTATAAAATTCTTCCCATCTCTGTCTTTATAATCAATTTTTTTGATGCAACACAATTTTACTCTTTTTACTTTCAAGCTAATGTCTTTGTTTTGAATGTTTATAGATTGGTTTTATTGTTTTGGTTTTACTTCAGTTAAATGCTGGTTCAAGAAAGATTAGAAACTACCAGACTGAGCAAAGCGGTTCGTTTTGGTGATTTGGCCGACGGCTGACCCATCTGCCGACTTCTCCACCTTGCTCGTGACCACCTCTCCCGCTCCGACCCCGGCACGACCTTTCTGCACCCGGTCTTCTCTCTGCTGCCGGAGCTCCTGCAGGCGGGTTTCGCGTTCCTTTTCTCTCTGGTCTGGAGGAGAGGAGACGGGAATGGTAGAGAGATGATGTCAGTGGAAAAAGAGGAGGAGGAGAAGGAGGACAAGAGGTCCTAAATAAGCTGACAGCACCTCATCTGACTGCCACAAAGTTGGATTAAGTGAGGCCTTCCAGATTTGAGGCAATATGTTTGAGAATTCTTTCCACGGGACTGTGAGGGTTTCTGAGCACACAAACACCCACAGGTGGGAGTCTTAACAGGCAAGCCAAAGCTGTCAAATAAGATGTTCTGCGCAAACACCACAGACCACAGAGAGCAAATACACACTGCGATGTTGAAAACGCTGGTACCTGCACTGATGGCTGTAGTTTTTCTCAGAAAACACGCATGCATTTACACATACTGCACAGTATTAATGATTTACTAACTTAAATTGTGTCTAATATCTAGATCACCGAGGCCCTCTTGGACCCTTTGCATGCTCATTTCCACCGAATCCACTGACGCATCCACTCTAAATCTGAGCTCACCATTAGCAGGTGCCTAATGAAACCACGTGGTGAGTGCCCGCAGAAAAACAGATCTTAACTGTTGTAGGGTGAGTGTTTAACACATTAAAAAACCCAAAAACAAAACACAGGATGCATGCAAGATACCAAAAAATTTCATAATATCCTCCATCACAAACCACATCTAAGATTGTTGTGGTCTCACAATGACAGGGTGTGTGCACACAAAAAGGCAAACACAGGCAAGTATAAATTGTTATTGCACACTGCACACCACCTGTCCTACCCATTTCTTCTTGAGTACATCCCAGCATGGCCTCTGAGGGCAGAATTAAAGGCAATTACGTGTCAAGATAAGGTATAAACAATAACAAAAAAGTAGATGAAAATTAGAAATCATCAGGCCTGACTGCTTTTAAATATCTAAAAAGAAAGCCTTCATGCAGTTTGGAGTAACAGTAAGATGCATGATGTTACCTCTCTTTCTTTTACGGAGGTCTCTCATGGCTGCGCGGATCATCTTCCTCTCCTCAAAGTCTTTTGACTCATCGAGCTGTGAAAGAGGGGATGGAAACATGAGGGGTCGTTCTATGCAAATTTGCGCAATTGGTACTTTCTATGCTACAAATCGGCACACACACAGTGCAGAGCTGTGACAAGGTTTAGTGTCAATGCACAAACTTTCCACATGCCTGAATCAAAACACCACTTTTATCGAAATAATAACTTAAATCATTGAGAATTATGGCTCCGGCGTGACATACCATTTTGTCGAGGAGCTCTTCATCCTCGATCGCAGCCAGCTTTTCAGCCGTTAGTTTCCCGGAGAATTCAGCAGGTTTGGTTTGAGCGCCAGAGCCATTGGGAATGAGTGGGACGTGACGCTGGACAGACGAGACCGCTGAAAACACTGGCTCAGAAGCGACGACGGGCCCCGTCTCCATCTGCGCGCAAAACGAACACAGTAACACAACACAGAGCGTGAACAGGAGCACATTTATTATCATAGACTGCAAAGAAAACCGTGACCTTAGTTGGAAATCAGTGAGCTACTGGGAGGACACTTCTTAAACCAGAGCCAGAACCAAAATGAAGGAGGGTAAAAAAGAAAACTTATTTGAAAGTGGCTGACATTTAAGATGTAATCAGAACAAGCCGAGGGCTGCTCTAACACATCGCAGGGACAGTACGTCTGACACTTCCTGTCCAGTAATAACTTCCTTGTCTCTAGGCCAGCTCCAGCGGGATGATCTGCGAGGGAGTGACAATAAGCACACGAGGCTAAAAGAAACCCTGCCAAGTTACTGTTCACTAGTTTATGGAGTGCTGCTGACACATGGATTTTTCTTAATCATACAACACTGCTGCCAACCCGAGTTTATGTGACAGATGCAATGCTTTACTCTCACTGTAAAATAGGGACAACGCATTACTATATAAAAAAGTCCAGAGGAAAAATATCTCCTAAGGGCTGAGGAGCAGAGCTGTGGAACGTGGGAATGTGTTGCATTATTGAGAGTTACCATGAATCCTATAGCAAATTCCTTTTACATGTTCATATGGTGCCGAATGCCTGTGGCAGACTATATGTTCTAGCTGTGGCCTCAATGCTTTTGCTGTAAACGACTCTGGGTCCAGATATAGCTCAGGCAGCTGGTCCCATCTGTATCCACAGCCGCCGAGTCCTGCCCACTGAAGTCCCCCAGCCAAACCAGGTCTCAGCAGGGAGGGACAATGCCCAGCTCAGCCACGGAACTGGGTGATCAAAGGTGGTCCCTGGTTTTCAACTCTTTTCTGGACACAGAGTTCTGACCCATGGGACAGGCTGGACTGAGAGGCCCGCGACCGATGAAGAATGTTCTGGGAGGCAATGCAGCCAGACAAGGTCTCTGAGTCAGGCCACAGGGGGAATGCACACGGGGTGAGAAGCTCCCCGATAACCTTTGTGGTCGAGTCATGTATAACTAAGCCTAAGTGTACCTATAAACATCCAAGTCATTGTGGAATTTTAAAAAAGCCTGTTTTGATAGTTTTTTTTTTTTTTTGTTGGGGGCTTGTTTTGCCCGTTTCCGGTTGAAAAGTTTTAATTGGAAAAAATGGCAAAACAAGCTGAAACTGGGCAAAGACATACAGAAACACGATCAGATAAGATCACCCCTCATTATCACATCGGTCTGCTGAAAGGATTACCACTTAATGGAAACCAGTCACCTTGACTTAAAGTAGTTGACTGGCGGTCCCAGCTGCCTCCACAAGATTAGACTCTGCATGGTTCAATAACTGAATCTCATGCTGCAAATTTACAATATCCCTGGAAATGTTACAAGTGCACACACAGAGGGTATGTTACACAGTTGCAAAAGCAAACAAGCCTCAAGATGAGGACCACATCTAATCAGAGCCTTTCAGTCTTTTCTAACCTGACGTCTTGATACTAGGCTCCTTTCTGAAAAACACTGTGCCACACGAGTTAAAAACACCTTCAGTGGCTTTGCAGGACCTGCTTTCCTTCCTTGCATTTTCTTTCTAACTCGTGATTGCAACTTTATAAATGAAAAGGAACAAAAAGCAGAAGAAAGACTTCAAACGTTCAATTCTATCTTCATGTGCCTGCCAAAGTGAGCACGGCACACAATCTGCAGATGGCAAACTAAAAGGCTGCTGCTAAATGTAATCATCCTTCCCTCCGCCGGGAAGTGCATCCACTCAACAGAACACTTGCAGGCATCCATGAATGCGAGCCGGGACACAATTAGAGACGCATGGTGTTACAGCACAGGAATACCTCTGTGACAGACTGCGTTGGAGTCCTTCACATAAACACAATCTGTCAGAATCTGTGGCAGCTGAGACGGTCAGCTGAGACGGTCAAGCTTACTGAGAGATTTGAAAGAGGTGACCAGAGTATGTGGTTTGAACACGGGATCGCTGCTGCGGCACATAAAATTAATGGTCTGCGGATCCGCAGGTATTGGCAACACTGGCACAAAAAGATAGTCCCATTCTTCAAGTGGCTTATCTGAATTAAAGGGATCATGATCAGAATCATTAACAGAGCAGTACCGTGCTGTTGCAGAGAGAAATGTTTGCCATCAGAGAGGGAGCAGAGAGGGAGCGGCACGTAGCAAAGGTTGGCGGGTGAGGGGCCGGTGAAGGTGCGTTTGTCCTGGGACACAGAGAGACTGAGTGTTGGATGGGCGTTAGAGGCTCCTGGGGTACACTTAACTGACTATGCAGGAGACGGTGTGCTTGGGTTTCCTGAGGTGCACTGGAAAGAGAGTGTTGGGGAGTGCAGCTGGAAGCATCCTGGAGTTTTTCAGACCCAGTCTCCTGCATGCAGGATGGAGCACCACCGGATGACGTTTTGCTTTTATTAGAAATTAAACTGGAGCAGTCTTTGCTGTAAAGTTCATGCATTGATGGATCAGGTAGCCCCATCACCTGACACAGGGCCTCAACTTGCCTCATCAGCCTTTCCTGCTGAATCCTCAGTCTCAGGTTCTCCTCCTGCAACCTGGACATTGTCTCAGCCAGAGGAGCCACCTCAGCCGCAGCCTCATCCAGCCGGGCATCCACTCGCTTCCCAAAGGCTTGCAGGTCACTGTGGATCTCCCCCACGGCACAGCGCAATGTTGCCTCAAATTTCTTCACACCAAATTGCTCCTCTTCATCCTCAGCTTCATCCTGAGCAAGCAGGTCCCCAATTACTTCTTCGAGGCCAGACTCAGCACAAGCACTGTCTGGGCTTCCCAAAGCCTTAGGAGACTGAGAGGCTGGGAGGAAGTCCAGGTTCACTCCAGGCATGGCCAGACAAACTTTAACTCACACTGGCCAATGTCCTCTTTGCTGAAATACCCACAAGTTTCCAAAAAGTTTATCCTGAGGTGTCAGATCAGGGCTGTGTCCTATGCCTCAGTGAGAATAGAAGTGTCCTCTCAGAAAACAATGCATGACCTTTATACCCCCAGCAAATCCCCCCCTGCAACCAATGAGTATGCAGGGAATCCCGTTTCCCAGGCAGCCCACACCTACTCATTTCTAGGTGCCCTGGGCGTGTATATTTATCTCCTGCCCCGCTGTTATTCCACTGAGCTGGTTAGATCTGGGGCACTGGGGGAGGGGGAATTGTAGTGACCACAAGTCAGGAAACTCACATCTCCCAGTTCAACTTTCCTTTTATCTAAAGCACGTCCTTCACACCTTCACTGGCAAGCAGCAGGCATTTAGATGTGGCTCTAGGCCTGGGCTGAGGTGAAAAAGTTGCACACTGGTTGTACACCTCTTTTACTAAAGACTTTCTAACAAAATACAACCTGATTCATCAGCTCAGCCATTTTGGATGATTACCATTCAAGATATAGCTCCAGATTTGGGAAGAGAGCAAAGAATTTAGGTCCATGAGAAAACCAGACATGCTGTGGATATGAAGTAAAGCCCTGTTTTCAGAGCTCTGGGCAAGGATGTTAGGAAGGACAGCAAATCAAAAATTTCGTTCAAGGGTAAAGTCAAATCAGCCAGTGCTGATGTCAAGTACTTCTGTGTTAAATTAAAACTTCTTAAGATGAAGTTACTCAAAGGCATTTTGCTGCACCACAGTACAGAAATCAAATAGTACTGTGCATACTGCATCTATGAACACAGTGTGAACAGAAGCATTTCATGATAAATATGTGATTATTGATGACAAACATAAAGACGGAAAGTAAAGTGCATCAATCTAGGATTAAAATGAGGACTGGAACTGGGGAGAAATTTGACAAAGTGCAACAGTCTCTGGAATTTAAAGATAAGCAAATGAGAATGACGTGGGCTCGAAGAGTGAATACAAATGCTTAGCGGCAGCAGGAACAATAGCCCAACCCATGGAGGACATCGCTCTACTCTATTAATTAAGTACATCCCCAGCCTTTACCCTCCGGTCTGTGAACCAAGCTTAAATCTGTGACACACATGAACCGGTTGTGTACCCAGCATGCGTCATGGATCGACAGCATGCTAACAATAGAGTTTTCATCCCTCTGTGTGACAGCGAGACAATCTGCCACTGACTTTGAGCCTAGACGTCCACGTTCATGCGGCAGCACCACCAGCGTGACCGAGAGCTTTGAAATAATCTCTGCGACTTTTGGAAAGGCCAACTGTCCTGTCATCGCCATGGTTATAAAGCTATGGCATCATTTGTACTTGTGTTCAAGGCCAGCGATCAGCATGGACAGACAGCGGACAAAACAGGCAGGAGCAGCTGCGATCACTTAGAGCAGAAGCCAACATTAATTAGCCACCACCTAAAATGAACTCTCATTGTAATGAAACACTGCGAGCACTTAGCCGAAATAAAAAACTACAAGTCACTCAGTATTTGGACTTTTTCATTGTTATTTGATCTTAACCGGTCTCTCAAATGGCTCCTGATTTAAAAGTGATCGTCTAGAAAAGAAAAGCCGATGCTATCAGCGTCTTTTATTGGGATAGAAATAAATTGCAAGTGCTCAGGTTAGACCACCAAAGTGAAGGCCAGACCACCCAAACAGATCACAGTTTCATCTCAAAACCACTCTGGTCAATTAACATCACTAAACAGGAAGAGTTTATTCAAACGCATGCCATCCTGTGCACTCTCTTATAGTCACTAATGTGAAAAGGGTATGTGGGTAAGCTTCTTTAAGGTCAATCCTCCTGACATGTCACCTTCTCTCTCTCTCTCTTACACACACACACACACACACACACACACACACACACACACACACACACACACACACACACACAAGCTAAACCAGAGAAAGTCAGGCAACAGGTGGTCTCTGCATCTGCCTGAACCAACCCACCAACCTCTGAGCTCAGCTTAACCAACGGTGTCTGTTGTTTTTCTCAGTCTCATTAGCGTGGTGACTGAGGCTTAGTCTTCGATGGTGAGCAGAAGCTGTTGAAATATCAGCAGCAGCCTTAATGCAGCTCTGCGCTTTCTCACTGAAGGTGTTTACGTTAAACTTATACAACTACGACGCAGCTGTCTGGATGTTGTAAACCACTGCCTGCTGCTGCCAGCGTGCAGTCATACCTGTGCTGTGTCGCTGGAGCCCATTGCTGATCCACCAACCTCAACAGTTACAGATAGCACAGTTGTTGTCTGGTAACTGTTTAGAAGTAATCCTATGCACAGCTGCACTTAAAGACATTACCTGCATGCTAGGATAAACCTCACATCTTGCAGAAGATTTATCTTCTTCATGCAAAAATCTGTCTTTTATAAGAAAGCTGTTATGCTAAAGGAGGGTCCACAGGCACAGCCTTGTGGACCCTCTTCCCAGCCCTAATTAACCTACTCTCAAATCTCATAATCAGATTACCACTGCGCTCAACACACGGGGGGAGGGGGGACACAAAGCCATTAAAGAGTAAACAGAACAGTGTTTGTTGTGCCTTTCCTCTCTCAATCACCCACTCTCCATTAACTAGGATGCTTCCTTTCATGGTAGAGAGAAGGGTTTAAGAAATGGGGCAAATGGGAGTTTATCTGTTCTCCCAGACCTCAGAGGTTATAGTTTGGTCATTTCTGATTGCTGTAACTTTCCAATCCTATGGAAAGACCAATCCACCCAATCAGTGCAGTGTGTGCATATGCAGCACTGTGCAAATGATCCACACCTCATTTCTTTATGTTTTGCTAGGAAAATGGGCGCAGTGCAGCTTTGGCACACAGTAGATTGATCAGCTGACGGGGCAGACGTATCTCTCAGGTCCCGTGTCAGGTTTTTCCTGGATTCTTTCCAATTTTGTAAGGGAATGACTTTCAGATAGTGCTGTAGTGGGGGTTTAGGTCCAAGACTTCCAGTTTTCTCCTCCACTTGTTCAGTTTTCTCAGTTTTTTTAAGAGATAAGATAAGAGAGACACTGTACACCAGGATGAGATAGTCCAAGTTTTCAGCTAATAGCACTTTTGGAGTCATGCTGATAAAAAAAAATATAATTTGATATCCGTCAAACTGTGTTATCTTTGGCATTTTTCATAAAGAAATGTTCTTTGCTAAGTTGTCTAGATACAACACAGGTTGATCCCTTGAGTTATATGTTGTTTCATGCTTGAACGACTCATAGGTCACCGTTAACTGGCTTAAAAAGCAAAAAAAAAATGTTCATTTGAATGTTTACAAGGCCTTATAATTAGTGAAAAAGTAGCCAATGTCCAGGGAAAACTTTAAAAAATCTCTAGAAAGCCTGAAGAAATAGGTTTTCTAAAAATTACAAAAAGGAAATGAGGGATAGTTCAAGACTTTTGCACAGCACTGAAGGTGTATTTAGGAAACATTTCCTGGATAATTTTCAGCGTGCATGACCTACAGAGAAAAACGGGAATACCCAGAACACCTCCCTCCCTCCCTCTTTCTCTCTCTCTCTCCTTCTCTCTTTCATATACCCTACAAGGGCAGATGTGACTGGCTCTGTGTTTGATAAACACTGTTCTTCCCTCCTCTCCCTCCTTTTCTTACACATGGTGTCCTTCACTCCCCTGGCTCTCTAGCTTTTCAGACCTTATAGGTGATTGTTGTGACAGAAACGCAGCAGAAACCGTGCAATTTAACTGGGTCCGCTGGAAATAAAACAGAAGATGAAAAAAAGCTCAAACTATAAATTAATAGCAGATCTTATCAAGCCTGTTACACGAGCTTGATAAGATCTGTCAGGTTTATGTGTAGCCACAATTTTGTGACCATTTGTCAAAACCATTTTGTAAGGCAGTTTGTACCTTGATGGAGGGTCCAGAGGAGAAGCTGGAGGAAGAGATCTTAAATGGTGTGGCTCTTAGGCCGAGGGTCAACTCTGAAACAGAGAAACAAAGATTTGAGAAATGTAAGACCTTAAGCTGGGGTGAAAACAAACACACACCACTACAGTGTCATACACAGCACACAAGTCTAATGACTGAAGATAGCACCACCTTTAACATAAGCACTTTCTTCACTGGCCTGGTGTGCACATTTCTATGTGACCCGCTTCCTCCCACATCCAGACACGCACACATGAAAGCTATATCATAAAATACAGGACTGATGCAAACCAGCAAAGCTTGGTCTACATTTAAGAGAGTTTGACGTGCTTTTGCAGAAAACTGGAGACACATTAACAGGCTGCTGTTACTCAGAGCAGGACAGGCAGGATTCCAAAAAAGGAGCCTAAAAACATTAAAGCGAACATGACATGAAAAAGAGCCGTGCGAGGCTCGTGACAGAGCGCAGGGCGGCTCTCGGAGTACGAGGGAGCTGTAAGTGGTGAGCGGGCTGGAATCGCACGTGTTCAGACTGAGTTTAAAATAAACTGTTTGGGTTTTAGATGCCGGTCGCTGAGAAGAGCTGAAGCTTTAGACATCTTTGTTTGGACAGACTGTAACAGCAGCCGTAGCGCTCGCGCTTCTGTAAAGCGCTGAGTTGATGCCAGACATGTTTTTCTATCATGCAGATAATTCGTCTCTGTTACATCACGACATACTGTCCTGAGTGTACTATCAAGATGTTGAGCCACATTCAAAGTGAATGTGTTCCCTCTCTGATGGCATTTTTCTCTCATTTTAAAATTCACACTCAAACCACTGACTGTAAACAGTAAGTGTGTTGCAGACAATAACTACAGAATATGACACACAAAGGCCTGTACTGTGTGGGCGGGCAGGCTAATTCATTTGCACTGTAACAATATTCCCATTGAGTTTCGTCTGAGACAACCAGTTGCTGTTTCTCTTGTCCAAGTTTGTTCTCTTCTGTTGACCCCACAGCTCCGTACTCCCGACATGCCCACGCTCTAACAAATACCATTCAGTGCGACCGTGCCGTTTATACACTCAGCTCTAACATCTATCCCCACTCATCCATGTGCTTCTTCAGATGCACAAAACCCCCCTTGACATTATCCCACTTGTGACATTATTCCTTCAATCTGATTACTCCTTGTAGCGGCTGATATTAATGCTGACATTTGGAAGAAAAGACATATAGTCCATTAGAAATAACGTGGGCTGCAGCTTGGCAACCTTAATGAGTCCAAACAAAAACACTAGTGTGTGGTAGCTCAGAGTAAAATCTCTACACTACACTATGTCAACCATCGCTGCTCCTGGTGACCATTTAAGGACGTAGTGAGCTCCAAGTTGATGCTCCTACCTTGCCTTTGCCCCACCAGGGCATTGGGAGTGATGCGTGGGGTCATGTGGGTGATGGGTATAATGTTGCCTCTACTGGTGGTTGATGAGGAGGAAGTGGTGGTGCGTCCATCCTTGATCTCAATGGTGAGGAAGGTCTTCATGTCTGGGTCTGCCTCTCCCTGGGTGACCTTTTCTCCAGCTGCTATCCCTGGGGTCCCGTCTTCCTTTGACTTATCGGAGGCGTGCGCATCTTTTTGAGCTGGATGTCCCATCCCACCCATGGAGCTCTGCGATTGGTCAGCTGAAGACAGAGACTTGTTAGCCACGCCTCTTGGCTGAGGCACGACCTGACTCACGGATGCAGATGCAGAGCCCACACGTGACCGTGCTGGCCTGTCTCCAGATGTGCTGAGGGATGCTGCTGAGTGTGTAAACAGCTCGGTAGCTCTGGAGACATTTGCATGGCCAGTGCTGCTGGAGAAGGAACCATTCCTCAAAGGAGTTTTCTTTAAAGATGAGACATTTGAACTCTGTTCAAGTTCTGCAAACTTGCGCATTCGATCACGAACAGAGGTGGTGCGACTTAACTGCTCCGATATAACAGCTTTCTTCTCGGGTGCTGTGAAGACAGAATGAAAGAGGGGAGTTTAAATCAAAGAAAGAGACAGCTCCGTACAGGAGAGATAAGTAACCAGGATCTCCTCCACTGCCCAGGCTGAATTTAGCACCGTTACAACTTATTGCTCTTGTAATCCCCCTCCTTCACCTCAAAAACTTTCTACAAATCCTATTCCTCTTTTCTTTCCTCATTTTTAGCCTTTGTTCCAGCCCCATGTTTTACTTGACTTAACTTGTGCTTCACCCTCTCATTGTTCCTATATTTTTGGACTTTTCAGGGAATGTTTCTCTCACTTAGAGGTGATATGTACAACGCTCATGGTTTGGGATATCTAAGGATTAGAGTAGATGATATTTACTGGGGTCATACTTACAAAGATGAAACAAGATGTGACACTTAAGAGGAAAACAAAATTATAGCACAGCTTGTAGGACATGAGATGACATGAGATCTAGGAGAGAGCGCTGAAGATATGGTGCATTAACAAAATGCTCCCTTCCCAGCCGTCCATTCCTTTATGGTCAACCTAACAGCCCCTACATAATTCTCAGAACTGATCTAGCAATAATTTCAATGGGAATTTCTCCAGATATATTCAAGAAAATGTAAAGATGAATGTTTAAAGGTTTTCCTTGATAAGTATCTTAAAAAGATGATCTAGCTTGATATTGACAGGCTTTCTACTTATACATCAGAGCAAGGCTCTTACCAGAATCCCTCGTTTTGCCATAAGAGCGGGACAGGTCACTGCCCACAGTTATCTAAACACGGGAAAAAACAAAAACACAACAGAACAATTAGTACAGGAAGAAGAGGAGAGCAGAGGTCAACGGGCAGAGCGAAAAATACACATTCATGAGGACTACATGGGCGGCTCCGGGGACTCCTGACCTACACAGTCCTAAATACAGAATCGACTGGTGGTGTTTTCATTATGTAACATTGTACTCGGCATGAAGATGTGAGCATCTGTTCTTTTTTTGGCACTGTGGCCACGACGGATCCCAGAGTGTTTACAGTACTGCGAGGAGCCTGAGGATCAGCTTGTATAGCACGGGGAACAATAAAAAAAAGTTTGGGGCCAGTCTTGAGTAAACACATTAAGCGAAGCGACACGATGGCGTCATGGTCACCGTAGCCCCCCTCCCGCTCCATGTGAAGATCTTGCTTTTAACAGTTTAACAGAGTCAGTGCAGAAAAACAGAGAGAGAGGGAATGTTTGGCCTTTAACGCTGTGTACTCCTCTCTGACACCAGGTGAGGCCGAAGCGCCGCTGAGGTGAAACAGAGACAAGTCAGGTGCACAGTTTGTTTGTGTAACCAAGTAACAAAAGTCAAACAACATCCAGCGGGAGTTCGAAGTGGAGTGTTTATGGATGCCGATGTGACCTGGGTGTCACTGAACAATGAAGTGTCGGCTTTCGTGTCAAGAATAATGACGTGGAAGGAAAGAAAAAAGGAGCGCTCGGACGGTTTGTGCGCTTCAGTTTGGCTACGCAGCTCAGCACCCCACTCTAGTGGCGCAGTCACGATATACGGCGTGTGTCGCTCAGTGTTCAGCGGGCTCAAAGAGACAGACAGCCGACAAATGCACCACAAAGCATTCATGTAAGACTCCAGGACAGCCTGAGTACAAGACAGAGTAGCTTAAAAAGGTGCAAAAACATGGATTACTTAATTTAAGTTGTTAATTCATGAATATGACTGAATCCTGAAGCACACACACACACACACTCCACCTTTTGTCTCTGGATGTCAGTTTTCCCGCTGAGCAGGCCATTTACGGGATCTCTCCGAGATAAAACCGCCCCATCAGGCTCCTCCTGGTTAGACTCAGCTTGGGTGCCGGCTGAACCTCGGCTTCTGCTGTCAGTTTCTGAATCTGTGCTGCAAGTCGATTCACTCCCGGCTACCTCCGCCTCCTCCGATGGTGCCCGCTCCTCTGAGGACATGCTCGCACTCTGATCAGATGTGCCAGAGACCGTCCGCTTCCTTGACAACAGGCCGATGCTGTCTGAAGTCTCGGAGCCCAGACGGGGTCTGACGCATGAATCCGAGACATCTGAGCCCACTCTCTGTCTGGCACAGGACTGGGAGTTGATGCTTCTGTCTGATGCCCCGGAGTTCAGCCGACCACGCTGGGAGGAACTCTGGCTCTTGTCTGAGGCTCCAGAGTCCAGCCGGGCTCTGTAAGCTGAGCCCAGACCTTTCTCTGAGGCCACAGAATCCAGATTGGGCTTGGAAAGCATCGAGGCTGCGCTAAGATCGGAGGAGTCTGACCTCTGACAGTGAGACATAACCAGGTCGGCCTCCTTGGTCACAGCTTCTCGCTGAGGCTGGATCAACAGAGGTCCATCATCCTTTACCAGGTGATCCAGAACCAACACCATCCCTGAGTTGGAACCTGCTATAAAAAACACAAATGAAATATATGAAGTAACTTTCTGTACCATTCAAGTTTTCTCTTCTGTAAAAACACATTTTCATGTTACCTAGATTCTTCTTGTATTACTAGTACACTAGAGGGCAATGGAAGAAGTAGATGGGTATGTTGGAGACTTAAATGAAATCTTTCCACAACACTGGGGCCCCAGAAAGGCCAGGCTAGAAAATACACTCAGGATCACAGGGCAGGCATGTGGAGACATGAAGGGATGTAGACATTTCCTCCAGACTGGCCTCAAGTTCCTGAGTGAGATTTGCAACTGGGCCGGTGAATGTGCGTCAAGTAGGAAGAAGGCTTTCCACGAGTGTGGAAAGCGATCATGTGGCACAGTTATATCTGGGACACGATTAAAAAAAAGGAGTCAGGGAGAGAGTGGGTTAAAAAGAGAGACGAACAGGAAACCACACTCCAAACATCACAGCCCTGCCCGCATCCTCCCCCCTGCGACAAGTATCTACCTCCAACACCCCACCATGCTGCTATATGAATATCTGAGGTTATGCACACACACCGCAGATAAGAAAAACAGAGAAAACCAAGATGTGTATCCACTTCCTACAGCACATGTACAAAGAAAGACCTAAAAACACTTCTGACTGACCTTAGTTTGCACCAGCTTGGCAACCAAATGGAGTTCACCAAGTATGCATGTCTGTCATTTACTAACCAAATCAAAGAGGGACTCCAGTCTGACTGGAGGCAGCCGACAGTCTCTTTCAACTTTCGAGCAGCCGTAATCACGGCAGAGCATTCACAGCTTCACCAAGCATAGCTGACCTTTATCGGCTCATTACTGCTTTGTAGATTCTGCACAATAAGTTTATTAATAATAGTTTATCGCTTTTAAAGCAATTTCCCAAAATAATCCTGTGAATTGTTTCAGATATGAGAGAAGATAAAAATGGCAGCAAGCTGTTGATTAAACAGACCGAATGCTTATGTAATACAGCCTGAATAGAAAACGTGATCGGGTCACACAATTAGGACAATAATGGTCCGCTACACAGTAGTGTCTATAGCTCGCAATGCACTCAACCAAAGCTCAATTACTGGTCTTTAATAAGTGTAATAACCGAAGTGAGAGCCAGCACACGCGCGCGCACACATACACAGCTGCTCTCCAGCAAACTCACGTTATTGTTCACGTCGTTGCCGTTGGGAAGCTGTCGTATCTATTGTGTGGCCATTTCTGGGAAAATCCCCACTGCTACTGCATAATGAGAGGCTTGCATTTTTTTTTATATATATTTCAAAATAGCAACAAAACGCTACAGCCTTCTGCCAGTATATATACGGAGCACAAACAAAGGACAACCAAGAGCTTTCTTTATACTGCTTTGACAGTGAAGCAATGACCCCAGAGGAAGCCTGCCCAGTATTTGTGCTGGCTGTGAAGGGGTCAACACGAGTTCGTTTCAGCTGCTCATGAGCAGTTCCATGGTTTAATCAAACCTTAAATTTGTTGTAACAGGCTGGGCACAGGCTTCTGTAGCAAGGTGATGAAGGCAACAGTTAGCCCTGTTAGCCACAAAGTATTTTAAAAGAAGTTGTTATATTAGATGTAAACACAATATTAACCCCATTGTAGATTTGGAGCCATGCCAGCAGCTCTGGACTTTCATTATTAGTATTTTTTATTCAATTTGACAACTCATACAATACACAGTAATACAATATGATTTGATATTTTACTCAAATCTACAAGTTTAACCTCACCGTGGTGAAAAAAAAAGGAAAAAGAAAAACAGTCTGGATTACTAGAGTCTGAATGATTCATCCTCAGGAACAATGAATGTCTGTCCGTGCATGTAGTTGCTGTTGAAACTTTTCAGTGGCAACCAAATGGAAGAGCAACACTGACAGAGAGGTTAAAAAAAAACAAAAACGTACGTAATCTTTCAATGATCCGACCTGTGGTGGGATTAAGCAACTTGTTTTTAGAGCTAGTACACGCTTGTGCTACGGTACTGCGGGGTCTGTGTTATTAGGTGGTTGCTAGGAACCGTGATTAGGTCATATCACGCATCATTAAAGCTTTGTGGATATAAATTAGATGTTATTGTTGCAAAATGAGATGATGCTTTCATAATTTGTTACTTTTTTTTTCCTTTCTTTTTTTCTTTTTTGTTGCGTTGGCAGGTGGTTGCCAGGCAACATAATAAGATCTAATATAGGGGGCCTAAGATATACCTGTGTGCCAATTTTGGTTGCTCAGCTTGTGATTGTGTAAAGAGATTTCATGTGTTATAGCAATATTTGCACTGGTGCTGTGACACTATGGTTAATCAGCGATTTGTTGGTTTAGACCAAAGACTATAGCGAATGACATGGGACTTGTATTTATACTAATAGCTAGACAAATCACCTGGGCGCTTGTGCCTTTGAGCATGTCCATTCTTTCTAATGATCAGCAGCGAGGAACTCACTTGTTTGCAAACAAAATCCGTGAAACTGTGTGTGTACTGTATACAGACCACAAAATCCTGAGGAGTTAGTGGTCTCAGCTGTTAGCTTCACGTACTATTGAATAGCAAATGACGCTCTTTTTGCAAATTATGACCCAAATAGAGTCAAAAGGATAATATTTTTGTGCAAAACCTTTAGATTAATAAGTTACTGTATGGGGATCACTTTCTCAGTCTGAACTACCCCTATCCCACATCACCTCCAAAACGCTCAGCTCAAAGCTTTAAAATTGCATAAGATACGTTCAAAGGAACTCGCTCTCCCCTGGGAACTTAAAGCATTGAGAAACTCTTGAAATCATAACCTTACCGGTATAGTGACACATGGTCACTGACGTAAGCGTGTAAATATAAGCTTCTTCTTTGTATGTGAAACGCGGAATTATGCGTTTATGCTCAGGGCTTAAGACGACCACACCTTCAGGAACCACATGCCCACCCTGCCTACACTGTATTACACCAACCACAAATGTCCCATGTCTTTGTTGATCCACTTTAAAAAAGCTCCCTTTCCTCTTTACATTTCTATGGTGGTCTTTTTTTTTTTTTTATTGACCCTAGCTTCACCCTGGCTTAAATTGTAAGGCACAGCTAAATGCAGAACAGTGGGGAGTTTCACGGCCACGTAAAGGAGGCTTCAGTTCTGTTCTGGTATCAGCTTTATTTAGCAGAGGTGTGGTTGCTGGGTTTCCCTCTGTTGCTTCCCAGAACCCCATCACCAACCCCTCATCCATGTGAAGGACACCAAGAGCCAAGCCCATGGCTGACCAGGCCACACAGAATGACATTATGACTATGAGCCTTGGGCCAACCTCCAGTTAGCCAAATGTGTGCTGAAATCAGCTAAGGATGGCCAAAGTTAAATTTGGTCTTAAGTTATACAAAGTGGATGTTATACGTGGTCATTGGGATAAAAAAAAAAAAAAAGTAAAAATGACAAAACACAAACAGGCTTGCAACAAGACTTCAATCACTTTTACACGTTTTACAAGCTGCTCGTGTTAGCTCTGCAAGTGTTGCTGCAAATGTAGCACACTTGTTTCCTCTTAAAGGCATGAACTGATATTACTTTATTGATGGCTGGACTGACAGAGTGGCTAATGAAATTACTTTACACTTAAAAAAAGAAAAAGTAAAGGACGTGTAGCCAAAGAGATTTAGTCGTGGCTGTGAGTTACCCCAAACACTTAATAAAGTTAGATGAAGGAGCATAAAAAGGCTGAACTAACATGACCTCCCGACGACCACCTCATGAGGAGAATGGCTCCTTTGGCCAACTATTTTAACAGGCGCTCCAGAGGAAAAGGCATCAAGAGAGGCGTATGCATTTACACATACGTGTAACAGAGGTGACCAGTGTTGGTTTTGTGTTGATATTGCCTGACTAAACTTGACCTTTAGGGCATGTTTACAGTATATACAAACTTCTATATGGCAGTGATCCCTAAGTGTGACAGAAGTAATATCCTGCAAGCGTGAGGTTGTGCAGCTTCTCTTTTTTTCTTATGAAAAACAAACCATAAAACGGTGAAAATTTCCCTCTCTTTTGAAGAGTACTCGCATTCATTCTCACCTATTCTCTGTTGCTCTCTGTTTTGTTGTGTCTGCTGGCTGCTTAACTCCCAGATCTGAGATCGGATACGCTCACTGCGGCTCTCCTTCTCAGTCTCCTGTGAAAAAAAGAAGAAGAAAAGAATAACATGTGCTTAGTGATCTTCAATTCAGCTGCAAAAAGCAAAGCTGCACTCAACTGAGCTGAAATTCTCAAAAGGCACAATGCGTTCAGCCATTGCTCCGAGCAGCAGGCAGCCACTCCTCCGATCAAAACCAGAATGAAAGATCAGTTACTGTCGTAGGTCTGAGGTTAGCTGGTGATCACAACTGTCTTTTGTTTGAGGTCGAGGTCAAATGCTCGAGGCGTTGAGCATGGATGAGCAACACAGCTTGGCCAGCTGGAAAAGTAAGGATGTTTACTTTAGATCGTGTATGGCTGAGAAAGAGAGAGAGGCGCCCTGAGTGGCTAAAAAGCAAACATGTGCATTCACCACCTGGTTTACTGCTATTATAGGCCCATGATTTGACCATCTTTAGATTACCTCAGCACTTTAACCAATGCAGGAGGTCACGGGGAGAAGGTGGCAGCATTTTGGATTGAAGAAAAGAAACAGGAGAGAGAGAACAGAGAGGGAAAGATGTGGATGCCGACACTACTGTTGGGCCTCTGGTGCTTGACCTTGAGCTACTCCATGGGAAAATCAGCTGCACAAATAGGGCTTCTCTGAGCGCACACACACACACACACACACACACACACACACACACACACACACACACACACACACACACACACACACACACACACACACACACATGCAACTTTATTGGGACTGAGATGGAGCTACATT